AAAAGGGAACATTTAATTGTGCAGATGCTCAAGCAAGCCGGCCAGGAGTCGGTCTCCAATCGCCAGAAGCGGAAAGAGCAGGTTCGTCACGGGCTGAGCGGGGTGCGGCCTTTGAGTGAAGCTTGGAGCGCCCATTCACAATCCTTTTAGCCGAGGGGTGTGGTCCATTTGAGTAAGGGATCAATCATTTTTGCGGGGGCTAGCAGGGTTGCGCTCAGAAAGGTCATCCATGATGAAGCTCCCTTGGCTGAGATCTTCTTAGTTTAGCTTTGGGTTGTTTGGAGTTTGCCCAGATTGTTTGCTTCATGTTTTACTCCACCATAACTTCACCACTACGTGTCACAGATTTTGACAACACCCAAGAAGCGTGTGGTACCTTAGGATGAGTTTAGGGGTTGTCCAACTCTTTACCCTAACATCATTGAAGCTATTTTGCAAGGATCCTGGGGCTCAGCCATTTGCAAGCACAAACGGGCAAGACTCGCGCACATGCGTGCCTGCCCTATGGTGGAATTCTGAGTTCTTTGTCGTCGTATGCCGTGTACATTGACTTGGTTTTGTTTGCATGTCCTTAGAATTTCTCACGTCCACAGTTTCTGAACTTAATGCTTTGGGAAAGATCATTTTAAGGACGACGTCTAGTTTTGTTTTGCTAATCCACTCAGGGATGGACAATTGATGAATGAGCACAGTTGGCTAAAGAAAGCCGCAACCAGCAGCCGCAGCGACATGAGGTGCCTTGTTTGCAGTGCCTAGGGCAATTGTGCTTTGGTTGGCGGCCCTCTCGTAGTTTGCACTGCAAAACCTAGGTTGGCGCGCATCCCACAAATGTGATTTGGGCACTAGCCTGCCTCAGATGTTGCTACTGGCTCTGCGGCTGAAGGTGAACATATGTGCATTGGTCAAGACACCCCTTTGCTTTAGGTTCGCCATGATGGTCACGTACCCTTCTCTAGGGAATTGATACAACGATATAGGATTCTATGCAGGGAACCATGTCCATGCCCAAACTAGGAGTCTTGACCATGGTATGCACATTGCCATGCAGATTCAGCTTGCTGCTTTGAGGCCTAAAGAAGCACCTCATGAAGCAACTGTTGGAGGAGGACAAGCGTGAGGTCCGCTTTGGCCACTCAGTTGGCACCAGCAAGTGTATCCAAAAAAGCCGTTGATTGGAGCTGTGAGGCGGCACGATGACTTAGCCGATGCCTTACAATGTTGACTCGATATAAATGCCTAGATGAGTGAAGGGCCTCCCCGGCCGACGCAGTATGGCGGTAAACAAGAAGATGTGACTTTGGGTCAAAGCCAATGGTACCATTGTGGGGTAGGTGCACCACCCATTTTAGTCTATTTTAGTGGGGATTGGGATGTTCACTGGGGGTAGGGGCTGTTGACCCATGGCCATGTCAAAAACGAGGAATCACCCCACACGTGACGCCTGGAGCGCTGCATTGTGCCGCGTAGATGAAGCAACTTCATGCAGCTAGTCGACTCAAGGATGACATTGTTGCATCAGGACTGCTGTTGCAGAAAAAGGGCAAGGGAGAGGTATGCTTGTGCAACTCAAGTTTCCATTTGCTTGTTGGAGCCACCTGGCGCAGGCTGGCGAGGACGTGCGGAATGGTGGCATGGCAGCATTATGGCTGTGTGGTGATGAGGGTGCCCTTTTTGGGCGGGAAACCCAGGGTAACACCCATGTCTAGGGTCCCCGATTTTAAATACGCACGCGCGCCCGTTTCGGAGTCCGCTATGTGTCGTTCCTTGCGATGCTCTGAGGCAAGTCCAAGAATGCGAAGCCGGACTCCTCCCATGTCCAGGCTGCCGCCTTTCATTCGCATGTGACTCCTTTTGTTAAGTCCAACCCTTTGAGGTGTTGCTTGGTTTGAGAATAAATCCTGAACCCCATTTCTTCCCGTGCTTACTGGGCTTTTGAGAAGAGGCCTATTCGTGGACCAATGGCGTGGTTTATAGGGCTTGGGCTGCGTCAGAGAGGATCTTGGGCCGAACTTGGTGTTGGAAAGCCCTTGGTCCTTCAGGATGCATTTTCCCATAAGTGGCCCATTTGGGATCTTCCGAGTGTCCTATTTGTTGGGGTGTTCCTTCCAGTGACCCAACCAAAATCAATTTCTCCACATAGAAGCGTTTAAGGGTGCTCAACTTTGTAGTCAGGACTATTTTTCCCTTTGCATTTCCACGTTGTTGTTTGCTTTTCAGTTTTGTTTGGTTTGGATCGGTTTGCTCGTTGGTTTCTGTTGTTTGTTTGTTTGTTTGTTTGTTTGTTTGTTTGTTTGTTTGCGTGTTGGTGGTTGTTGTGTGTTTGTTTGTTCGTTTTTTTCGTTTGCTTGTGTGTTTGTTTGTTCGTTGCTTGCCTGCCTACCTGCTTGTTTGTGTGTCTTTTTGTTTGTTTGTTTGTTTCCTTGTTTGTCCGTCCGTCCGTCCGTCCGATTGCTTGCTTGCTTGCTTGCTTGCTTGCTTGCTTGCTTGCTTGCTTGCTTGCTTGCTTGCTTGCTTGCTTTTTTCTTTGTGTGTGTGTGCTTGTTTGTTTCGTTGGTCGGTTTGTTGGTTTGTTGGTTTGTTGGTTTGCTTACTTGATTGCCTGCGTGCTTGCTCGCTTGTTTGTTTGCTCGATTGCTTGCTTGTTTGTCTTGTCTTGTGTTGTTTGTCTGTTTGCTTATTTGTTTGTTTGCCTGTTTGTTTCCCTGATAGCTTGCTTGTTTGTGTGTCTGCTTGTTTGTGATTGTTTGTTTGTCTGCTTGTTTGTGGTTGTTTGTTTGTGTGTGTGTGTTTGTGTTTTTGCGTGTTTGTTTGTTTGTTTTCTTGTTTGCTTGTTTGCTTGCGTGCTTTCATACTCGCTTGCTTGCTTCCTTGCCTGCCTGCCTGCTTGATAGCTTGTTGCTTGTTGTGTTGTTTGTTTCTTTGTTTCTTTGTTCAAATGGTTCCGTGTTTCTTTGTAGTTGTTAGTTTCTCTAAATGTTTGCTTGCTTGCTTTCTTGCTTGGCTGTCGGTTTGTCTGGTGGTTTGTTCGTTTGATTATTTGAGTGGTCCTTTGTTTGTTTGCGTCTCGGTTTCTTTGTTTGTTTGTGTGCTTGTGTGTGAGTTGTTGGGTTGGGTTTTGTTTGTTTTGGTTGCTTCGTTTGTTTGCCGTGTGGGTGCGTGTGTTTTATTTATTTATGGTTGTTTCCTTGCTTGCTTGATCTCGCTTTCTCAACTTGTGTCTTGTGTTTCTTGGTTTGCTGGCAGTGTGTTTGTTTGGTTGGTCGTTCGTTTGCTTGCTGGCTTGTTTGCTTGTTTGCTTATTTGTTTTTTTTTTTTTTGTTTTTTTTTTTCTCGTGGTTGGTTTGTTGGTTTGCTGGTTTATTGGTTTACTTGCTTGCTTGTGTGCGTGCTTGATTGCTGGTGTGTGTGTGTGTGTCTGCGTGGTTTGTTTGCTTGTTTGTGCGTTTGTTTCTTTGGCTGGTCGGTTGCTTGTAAGGTGTCTTTGTTTGTGGTGCTTTGTTGCTTTGGGTTGGTTCGCTGGTTTGTTGGGATTTGGGTTGGTTGGTTTGTGTTGTTTTGTTTTGTTTTGTTTTGTTTGTGATTTGTTTGTTGTTTGGTTGGTCTTGTTCGTGTTGCTTGCTTGCTTGCCTTTGCTTTGCTTTGCTTTGCTTTGCTTTTCTTTGCTTTGCTTTGCTTTGCTTTGCTTGCTTTGCTTGCTAGCTGGCTGGCTGGCCGGCTGGCCGGCTGGCTTGCTTGCTTGCTCGCTCTTGTGTTTGTTTGTTGGTTTGTTTTCTTGTTGGCTTGTTGGCTTGTTGGCTTGCTTGCTTGCTTGCTTGCTTGCTTGCTTGCTTGCTTGCTTGCTTGCTTGCTTGCTTGCTTGCTTGCTTGCTTGCTTGCTTGCTTGCTTGCTTGCACTTGTGTTTGTTTGTTGGCTGGCTGGCTGGCTGGCTTGCTTGCTTGCTCGGTCCACGCGGCAGGCGACAGACAGCTGCGGCAAGCTTATGACAGACAGCTGTGACCTGTCAGCTGTGACAGTCTGAAGCCTGAGGCTCCCGACAGTGGCTGGACAAGGACAGCTGTGACAGGCCAAAGGTTGAGCAAGCAATCTCTGAACTGTGCCAGCCCTCGCTTTCAGCCAGCGTAGCTACCGGAGTGGACAAAGTGGAGCCCCACCCAACAGGAAGCGTGATTTTGCCTTGCTGCCGCTTTGGCTTGGCTGAGTTTGGCTTGCTATCGCAGCAAGAGGCCCGCGCGCAATCGGATTTGCCTTCATGTTGGTGCCTGTCCAGCAATCAAGCAGATGTCTTGCGTGGGGAAGTAGCAAAGCACCTTGCTAGTAAAGCAACTTGCTTGTGTAATTGCTTGCTTGCTTGCCTGCCTGCCTGCCTGCCTGCCTGCCTGCCTGCCTTTCTTCCTTGCTTGCTTGCTTGCTTGCTTGCTTGTTTGTTTGTTTGTTTTGCTTGTTCTTTTTCATGTTTGCTTGCTTGGTTGATTGTGTCTTTCTTTGTTTGCTTGTTTGTGCGTTTCTTTGTTGTTTGTTTGCTGTGTCTTTTTCTGTGCCCACCGTGGCAAAATTGCTGCCAGCAAGGGCTCCACTTTGCGCAGGTCCGTGTTTTCTACCGTGACGCGGCTTGGCTGCATTGGGGGCTCGCAAATTTTCAATCGTGCCTCCCGGCGTGTACATGTGTGCGTGCGTGCTCGTGCGCATGCGCTTGGGTGTGCGTCCGTGTGTGCGTGTGTGTGTGTGTGTGCGCGCATGTTTGTTTGTTTGTTTGTTTGCTTGCCTGCTTGCTTGCTTACTTGGTTGGTTGTTTGTTTGCTTGTTTGGTTGTCGGCGTGTGTGTGTGTGTGAGTCCGCGTGCTGTGTCTTTGTTTGTTTGTGGGTAAGTTTTCGTGCGTCTCTGTGCGTGTGTGCACTTGTCCTTTGGTTTGGTGAGGACGGGCAACTGGGTAGCGGACGGCCCCCCACATGTGCGTATGGGCCAGAAGTTGGACCTTCACGCTTTCTTGAGTTCCGGGCCTCAGGTGGGTTTGTCATGGGTTTGCCGCACTCGACCAGTAGCTGTTCCAAGGAGCGAAAACCCAGCGACAAGAAGAAGGGTCCGGAGTTGATCCGGCGAGGGGCGCTAGACGCTTTGGAGGCCCGCGCGCTTTGTTGGTTTATCTAGGGAAGCGATTCTTCTGTTCAGGAAACTAGCAAAAACCACGTCTTGGAAAAGAGCGATGGTTGAATTGAATGTGGAGGCACCCCCTAGAATTTTCTGGTTTGGTTTCGTATCAAAAAGCAGGACAGCAAGATTCGGGTGCTTGTAAGAATGGTAGGACCCGCAGCCCAACTGGCCCAGACTAAACAAGGTTTGCCCTCGCAGTGATTTCCATTGATTGCACGTCTGAATTCACCGGCGCTGCTTTTAACAGCTCGCCTCAGCCACAATCAAAACCCGAGTGATTAGTGTTAGTAAGTGATACTCCCAACCAGATATGGGTGCAGCCGCCTTTTGAAGTACTTGCCTGACTCTGGGTAGACCATTTAAATACCAGGTTTTTATTCGGACTCACCTATATTGCCTATACTTGTGGACCGTTCGTTGGAAACGCATGGGCAGCCAGATGCGGGTCTTGCTGTTTGCCATAGCTGAAAAGCATGAGCCACAGAATGTTAAGCGTACACTGCCCCAAGTCAATGTAGAAACGAAGGTGAGAAACTGGGTCATCAGTTTCTGAGCTTCTTTGGGCATACGCGGCATGCCCATGAAGAAAATGCAGGGAGTTAGGGCAAAACACGTGAACAACAGAAAGCGTGGTCGCGAAGAAGCAAGGAGTGCGGTTGCGGTGAGGAGAAAGTTCAGCCAAGACTCCAAAATCACTCGGCGTCTCGGGTATCCATGTGAATCGCCTAGTGGCACGTGGCGTGTCCGTTTTGTTTGCTTCGGTTGTCCATCTTTTGAGCCCTGACGTTCACTTGTGGTATTTGGACTGGATTCAATTCCCCCAACGTTGCCACAGGAATTCCTGGACCTTGCCGGCGCCTCAGGGAAATCTGCGCTATGCAAACTGCTCTATATAGAAACTGTTCACACTTACCATTCGCTTTGTTGAAGATAGATGCTTTCCATTTGCACTGCTTAAGGATGTCGCATCAGGGGGGTCTAACGCACATAGGGCCACAACTGAACCCTCCTGCCTTTAAGCCGGAAGAATGAGGAAGCCCTGTTCTGCCCCATAAAGGTAGTCGTTTGAGAGGAGCCATTGTCCGATGGTCGTTTTTCGAAGTTTGCGGGGTAAGCATGATCATGGGAGTTGGGGGCTGGGGATGCATCGTTGAAGCTGCACGAATGCGAACAGATATGACTAGAAGTGTTTCTTTGCATGACAGTCTCGCGAAACCAATTTGCTTTTCCTTGGCAGAGCAGAAACAAATCAGAATTTGTATTTCCTTGATGGGGGGCCGAAACTTTTCGGAGAATCCTGGAATCCTCTTGTTCGAATCTTTACCAACCGTTCTATGAGGCAAGCGCGGCGAGTGCCCACGCGCGCCTCAGGCAAAGAAGAAGCTGCAAATCAATGGCAAGACTCTTGGCAAGAACTGCTTCCATGTGAGGGCCCAGAAAACCAACCCGATTTGGATGTTTATCTCAGTTGCCCAAAGCCGACCTTTTGACCTTTTGGTTTCTCCTTTTTGGTCTAGTTTCAGTCATGGCCCCAAAAGGTCAACCTTTCATTTCTGGATCGCTGAAACCCGTGGGTTGACTGAGTATCCTTTGTTTCTTATGGATATTACCTTACTTCCTTAACTGAAGCATCATTAAGCCTCTTGAGACAAAATGACCACTTTTTCAGCTCTTAGGAACATCATTAGTTATTTCTCGCATACCATTTTCTTGGAAGGAGCTTTATTCCCTGGTTTAGACTACAACTTTTAGATTTCCCTTTGGACTGATGACTTTAAGACAGGATGCTCCAGATCTGGGTATCCAGCAACAAAAAAAGCAATTTCAAAGCAACCAATCAAGCAGTTGCCGGAAGTGGCACTTGTAGACGCCTCTCGGCGAGCAGTTGTTGCGCGCAAAGAAGTACGTTGCAGGCACGTGATCCCTGATCTCAGTGTTCAAAACCGACCCTTTGACCTTTTGTTTCTCCTTGACAAACCTAATTTTTGTCATGAACAAGAATTAACCTTTGACTATAGTCCTTTAAACCCAAATGAGTTGGGTATCAGAAGGATTATCCTGGTAACATACAACAACAACAAAACATTTGCGTCAGGAAGAGCTTCAAGGCCTACAAGCAAGCTGGCGAAGTCCTCATACCAGCAAAACAACCACATTTGGTATATTAGAGTGGTTTACCTGGCCTGATTGTGAACACTAGATCGCTGATCATCTATTTTGAACTTCCGGGCCTCAGGCGACATCTCTGGCTTCGCCTCAAAATAAGCTTTACCAAACCCGATGCACCAATCAACATGTCGCCCCGTTCCGCTTCACTAATAAACCGGCAAGAGGCAGGTGTTAGGCTACTCGTGGCTGGACAATTAGAAATGAGAAAGAGGCGGATAAATCAAAGATCGCATGACGATGTTCCCTGCCAATCAGGTTCCTTGAATTTTTCTGCCTTTTGTTGGTTTGCATGATTTCCAGGACTACAGGTGTCTAAACTTTATGGGGATCAAGGGGACAGCCAATTAAATCCACTTAGATGGCTTGAAGACTTGGAATCTTTCTTCTCCTGCTCCTCCCTTTATCCTGCTGCTGTGCTGAATTTGTCAGCTTGCTGATGCTTTGGTTTTCACCAACACCTGGGCCATTTATTAACCTTGGAGTAGTCAAGGTAAACGTTCTTATCGTCGATGACGTCATGTTTTTTATCAGCCTGCTTTGCTTGGCATTGAGATAAGGTTACAAGACTTTGTCTGGTCTTCAGTCTTCCAGCAACTCACCATGGAGCTGTATTATTATCAATGTATCAGTATCTTGTTCTTTGTAGTGCCTGTAATTGGCTGTCTTTGAAGCAGTCTTCTTGATTTCCTCACTTGTGTCCTGCAACTTTGCTCCTCCCAATTCATGGACATAGACTTTTAAAGCCATTTTGGTAGCAGATCAACAGTTTCAAACCTTTCTTTTAAGATAAATCCATTCAGAGTAATTTGACTCTTATTATCAATTGCTTACCATTAGATCATATAGCCAAGTCTGGCAAATGGGTGTTAACCGTTGGATCGCCCTCAAATGGCTGCAGGGAATCACATTTACCTAGGGAGCAACTGCATTCCATGCTTTCCAGGGATCCTTCTCTCTGAACAACCACCAAAACCCCAGGGAAACAGCTAGTTTTTTGAGAAGAACGATGGTGGAAAGGAATGGGGAATCAATCCCTAGACATTTCTTGTGGACCGTTGCCTGTGGGTCACTGCCAACAAACTTGATCGCTGAGAGACATCAAAGCATCAAATGGGTTGAACAACAAACTTTCGCAGGATTTTACCCAATCACGACCTCCTTAAAGCAAGCGGTCTCAACTTCACTGGTACAATTCATCTGGACCCATTGTTTTAGGCGATGGAATTGTCTCTGCCAGCTCCAGCAAAACTTACTTTTTGGTAATTTGTGAACCAGTACCACAAAGTACCTTTTTCTCATTTCTCCTGGAAGAAAAGATTTCCCACTGAAAAGGACCAACCAAAAAAGGATGCCCTTTTCTCCCCATGGGCACTTCTGAGACTTGGTTAGACAGGGCAAGTTCTTTCAGCTCCAGGCGGCAGAGCAAACAGAGAAAGAGCTCGACTTGGTTTTGCAAGAAAGCCACTTTCTTGTGAAAAGCCGGGCTCAAGTTCTATGATCACCATTTGTAAGGCTACTGGCAAGGTGTCAAAAACGAAAACATTCACAGGGGTGTCACGTTATGTTAAACTTGTTTGGGCTTCCAACATAAGAGGTGGCCTCTGTTGTTTTGACTTTTAGCTCAATCATGTTTGGGCTTTCAACATTTTTTGCCATTCGCTGTTTTTAACCAGTCCACGTTCACAGCACCCTCCATGTGAACCCTCAAAGAACATAAGCATGATCAAGCTGAATCTTGTAATCAATTGTACGGTCCATCGATGGTTTCCTTTCAAGATAAATCGATTTCATTCATTTCTCATTCCACTGGCACATAGCGACATAATTGTATCAGCATGTATCAGACATCGACAGATGGCTCAAAACCGCGCCCTTCATCATAGCATGAATCAGCCCTCAAATGATCAAAACCTTGAAGCTGACTCCTTAGCGACAACGCCAAACCTTGTAAACATAAAAGAGTTGCTTTATGCTCACTTCCAATTTGGACTTTAATCTTTATTAGATTTGGACCATTTTGGGTAGCAAAATTGTGTAAAAAACCCATTGCTTTGGTTTAACATCCGTACACCATCATGTCAACAAAGGGCAACCACCATGGAAAACAGTCAGAAAAGAAGAGACAAGATGGTTTTCAGATGGATCTCAGGTTCAGTGGGAATCAACATCAGTCTCCTTAAAAACCAGTATCAGCATGGCTCCTCAAGCGATGCCTTTATAACTGTTTCAGAGGGTGTCGGTTGATCGCACAATGCCAGAAGTTTCCCTCATTGTAAGGCTCCTTTCCTAGATTTCATGAACTTTAAACTTTTTAGAAGAAACATTTAGTAATGGATATAAAGTTTTGGACTTTTTGGGCCATCCACTCAGCCAGTGAAAGGTGTGTGTTATTGACATCCCACAAAATTAACCCCGAAAATGGGATGTGTGCTTAATGTTCGCTGTATGGGAATTGTTGGATAATTGAAATTTGGGACCCCCACCCCTTTATAGTAAGCGTTATCATCTGTCATTATGGGCTTATACAGAAACCCTGGGTTTGTGCAGATTCAACCGCCAGCTGCCTTGGAGAGTACTTGGTGCTTGTTGCTGCGCACCCGCATGCGCTGAGGTCCCCAGCGCTACACGCCATGCTTCAAGCGTTGCTAATTTCCGGAATGTTGGGTGAGGAACTGACGGTTTAAGAGTTACTTGAACTACCTTACGTCCATGGTCAGGACAAGAAGGAGAAGAAGGATAAGAAACAGAAGGAAGACAAAGAGCACAAGAAGGCTGGTGCTTGTGACTATGCCAAATTGAATTTGGCCTTTCGCAGGCCATGGTTCTGCCAGACTTGTGTGATCTTGTGTGTCTACATCGTATGGGTCACTTGCCGCTTTATCACCTGCGAGCATGGCGTGCACGCACACAACCGACCTACGTTGAGTATGGCTCACGGTAACGAATGGCAGAGATGGTGCAATATCATGCTTACAGGTCAGCCAGTGTATTTGCGCCAGGATAAAAAGGAAAAGAAAGATAAGTCGGAGAAGAAGGCCGAGTTTGTTGCTGTGGTGCTCTGCCCTTGTCAAGACGATGGAGAGGGACAGAGCGAGGGTTGGCCAAAGGGACTGCCGACTTGGCAGTTCTAGGGTCATTTAGGGTCTGCGCTCATTTGCGGCAAAGCCGACCTTTGAACTCTTTTGTTTCCGAATGTGGGTCCATTTTTGGTCATGCCCCCCCCCAAAAAAAAGAATTAAATAAGTAAATAAACAACTTATTTCCAGATCGATTCTTTGGGCAAGTTGGAGTTATTTTCTTGCTCAACAACCGTCCCAGCAACGTGGTTGGACACTAGAATCCTTGTTCCAGACTGGAGATGGGCTTTGCTCCAAACAGTTTGGTCACATGTCCCACTTGCTTCGGTTAAATGTGTGCGTCTGGTTTTTTGAGACCCTCCTTTAAACCCCCACCAAATTTGGCACCCTCAAGAAAAGACCGACCCAAATCCATCTATTGCACGCAGTTTCGGGGAGGTATTCACTTGGGCGTCAGGAGAAGAAGGAGAGGAAGGAGAAGGATCATGAGGAAGAGGCGTGTGCGGGAAGGTTTCCCTACTAAAATAGACTACAGAAAAACTTGGTGCCAACTTATTATAACCTCAAATCTGGAGGACCTAGTCTTTTAATAAGGTCCAATTCAAGTATTTTGCAGTTCGTGGCTTCAAGCCACCGGTGCTTGCGACGGGCATGGCTGATTTCGAGCCGTTGGTGGGCTCCTTGATTTGCCCAAGGATTTGGATTTCCACCTCTTCTTGTAGAGGGCAAATGGATTTGGAAACCACTCCTTACCTCTTAAAGACACAGCTTTTCAACTTTTTGGGTAACATGGGCTATATGTCTGTAACAGATTAACTTCCCCAGGGCTTGGAGTTTTAAGGGGTAAGACTCCCAACCACCAAACCACCGATACAAACTGCCAAACTGCCGAGGGAAGCTGAGTGCCCCGTACACATTGCCAACCCCTCGGCCTCGGCCTAGGAAATGACAAAGGAAAAGCTCACCCCACCTTTGGCCACAAATATGGCCATGATTGTGGAATTCAGTTGCCAGCTTCAAAGTGGTTGGGTGCTTGGTGGAGGTTTTTTCCAACCAACATATTGTTTGCCACAGGGCCCCTGATGGCCCGGAGCTGGGAACCTGCAAGGATGGAGCCTTTCGAAGCTACCAGGAGTTCTGGTTGACATGACCATAGCGTTTGAGCAAACGTGACATGGACAGGGTAGCTGCATTCACTAAGGTTAAGAAGGGCAGATTGTGCTAACTCCAACTGAATATGAGTTCATATGCATGTGTACACATGAGCATGTTGCGTACAATTCTTCATTTATGCGAATCCTTGCGCACGATTGCCATGTCCATAAGCATGGAACCCACCACCCCTTTAAAGGAAATTCGTCTTCCAGGACCCCAAAACGTCAGGTGTTATGTCAATGGAGTGAAAACCGAACCCTTTCTTACTCCAGTCACAGCGCAGAAAAGGGGGTATCCTGTGTATGTCTTCATTCTCCAGACTTGTAATCCTAGGTCCTCCAGTAGTGCCCTTTCTCACCCTTTTTTGGGGGAGGGTTCCCCTACTAAATCGACTACAGAAAATAGTTGGTACCCTTATTCTAACCTCTCTACTGGAGGACCTAGTTGTTGACCCCCACCAACCAGTTGGTTAGTGGTTTCCTTTCGTTTGCCTTTAAAATTTACCCAATTTGTGCACTTCCATGTTAGCTGGTGGGAGGGTATGTATTCTCCAGACTTCGCATCTTCTCCACAAGATCTCTTCGAGGCCCCTGCCGCCCGTTCAGGCCCTGGCGGCCTTCGATGATCTCTTCCAGCCCTTGTCGGAAGAGGAGGCGGAGCCGCCGCCGCCGCTTCCCACAGAAAGAAGACACGGCAAGGACCGATTTGGGGGGTCAGTGGCCCAAGGCGAATCGACCCACTTGGTTTTCCTCTTCTTCTTTTTTTGTTTGTTCAATACTAGGCTACATTTACCCCCAAAAACCAGAAGGAACAACTGCCTCATTTTTGCCATCGATTCGCTTTTACCCTGTTTTGTTTTTTTCCGATTCTCAAACCCAGAGGCTCCATTTGCCTGAGTAGGTACCAAGGGAACCCTTGAAAAACCAAACGGAGCATAGTTGGTTCCCTACTAGCCTACTAGAAGGGCTTGCCTGGGAACTGGGAAAGGTTGCCTTTGTATTTCCACCTAAGGACCTGTCAAGGCAAGAACTGTTGAAATCCTAAGTTTGCTGCTGTTAAAAGTTCCGTGGAGTTGTTTGGCATGGATTCCTGACAAAGATCCGAAATCAATGCTGCCTTCAAGCAAGAGCTGAACACATATAGATTTACACATATTTGTAGTGTTCGAACAATGTGCACGTCCCGCCTGATTGCCCCGGATTTACAAAAGAAGCAAAGCGGCCATCAGCATGGCACGGCCAGGTCAAACAAGCGCGCAGCGCGCACCTCCGAGCAGATTCAGTGCCTTTCTGTTCCCCCTTTTGTTTGTCTATCGCTTGAAGGTTGCTCCGCTTCTTGCCTGGTCTTCCGAGGGTTCCCCTACTAAAATAGACTACAGGCAAAAGGGTGCCCTTATTCTAACCTCTGGACCTAGTCTTTGACTGATCCATTTTTCAACTGGGTTTCAGACAAGCCTCTCTGGCCATTTTGCGGCTCTTGTTAACAAGCTTGTAGCCGTTTGCCACAATCAAGGTTCCCCCATGTGGCTACTGATTTCCTTCTGTTCTGTGTTGTTGTTTTCTAGCTTGAGGTGTAACACAAACACGGTCGTTTAGTCCTCAGTACTACCACCCAGCCTTTGCGCTGCACTGAACATGCATCAGCCCAAAACGTGGTCACGCAAGCTGCGCGCACCTATTCCCCTTTGCAAGATTCAAGGGTTCGCTCATTTTTCATGACACGTTCCTCTCGCGCATCGGTTTCACTTTGAATTCAGTCAGCTTCAAATCAGCTTCGGGTCAGCTTACTGAACTCGCTTGCCCACTTTTGGCTTCCCCAAGTTGGTCCAGTTCAAGGTTGTTGTCTTGACTCCTATTGGGTTGGATCTTTAGACTTTAACTTTTTGGGAAATCAAGGGGTGTTCCACTAACCCCATGAACAGCTAAACTTTTTGCAGGGGGTCAACAACAACCGAAGTTTTTTTAATGGATGGCCGTTTTTCCCCACCCGACAGGAAGGGGCTGATAGATTTTAATGTTGGAATCCGCGTTTGCGATGCTTCTACACCACGCCCCCACCCAGTATCCCGCCAGAGCAGCTCGCCAGTGGATCCCGCCAACTAGCCCGCCAGAGCGGCTCGACAGTGGATCCCGCCGAGTATCCCGCCAGAGCGGCTCGCCAGTGGATCCCGCCGAGTATCCCGCCATCCCGCGCCAAGAACACTTTCGCCAGTAGGCCCCACCGGGTATCCATAGAAGCGGCTGCCAATGGATCCCATACGGGTATCCCGTGAGCGGCGCCGGTGGATCCACGCCCCACCAGAGCAGCCATACGTGGGATCCCGTCGAGTATCCCGCCAGAGTAGCTGGATCCCGCCGAGTGTCCCACCAGAGCAGCCCGCCAGCGGATCCCGCCAAGCATCCCGCTGAGTATCCCAGATTAGCTCGCCAGTGGATCGCGCCAAGCATCCCGCTGAGTATCCCTTGCCGGTGGAGTATCGAGCCGGTTTTGCTCGGCGCACAGTTGGGTTTACATTTCATGTTGGTGCCTTCGTGTTTTGAGTGTGCCCTGAGGCTTGGAAAGGGTGATGCTTTCGTGTTTCCTTGGGCTGTGAATAAGCACCTTCGCTTAATCCCCCGTCGGGTTTCTTTTTGAAGGGGCTTGGCTTTTGTTAACGGAACCGATGTTTGAGTTCTCGAGATCGTGCTTGAATTCACACAACCGTGCTCACGGTCGTAAGCTCGTGAGTGTGGAGGGTGGGGATTGCTCGAAGCGATGTAATTAGGATTTTGTCGTTTTTTAAAAGGATTTTTGTTTGTTTTTCAGGGTGGGTGGCTTTTCGGCTTTTTGGCTTTTGTGGCTTTTATGTGGGTTTTTGTGGCTTTTGTGGCTTTTCATTTCGCATCCTCTGCATTGCCAGTTCCGCTGCGGCAGGTGGCTTTTTGGCTTTGTGGCTTTTGGCGGCTTTCTGGCTCTGGCTTTTCGCATCCTCTGCTTTCCCAGTTGGGTTTTTGGCCTTGGCTTCCTGCATCCTCAGCATCGCAAGTTCCTCCCTGGTGCCCCCCGCCACCCCCCTTTCGATTAAAATGCACGCCTAATTGAATCATCACTTTTTCGATCATCATGGGGGGCTGGCTGCCACCCCCCCCCAACCCCCCTGCTGCTTTTTAGATTGTTTTGCCCCCAATTGAATCACCACTTTTTGATCACCATGAGGGCCCCCAACCGCCCCCCGCCGCTACTTTTTTGGATGTTGGGCAGAGATTTAGATGCACCGCTACACATTTTCAATCATCATGGGGGGGCTGCCTTTTGCAGGGATTAGTTTGCCCGCATTTGAATCCTCACTTTTACCATGAGGCCTTGCCGCAGAGGAACTGATGATGCTGAAGGTGCAGGAAGCCAAGGCCCTCGATTTGCTGGTGATGCTAGGGATGTTGGCTGGACATGCGGGGGATGTTGAAAACGATGCTGCTGATGTTGACGGCTTATTTTGACCGAATGTGTTCCTTTCACATTTGTTTTTGTTCCTCCATATTTTTGTTTTTAGATTGATTCATTTCTGCCTCCTTTGAATGGCGATCCCTTCTCCCTATCAAAGCCATGTGTGCGTTGTTTCGAGGGTGCTTGTTTCACCTTGGTGCTTGAGGAAACCAACAGAACATGCAGACCCCGCGCTGTTCAGAGATGCGTTTGACGCGATTTATGTAGCGCGAGTTCTCGGGCGCGGAATTCTTGATTGGGGAGGAATTGTTAATTCTAGGTCCCCTTTTTGCAGCGGAGTGCATCGTTCTGTCGCACCACCATCCATTCCCTCCCCCAATAGACGCCAATTGCTCCATGGCGGTTTGCTGGCATGCTGGGCAAACTGGTGACGGATCTTCGAGCAAGAAAAGCACAAAGGGTTTCAACTGAGGCGAGCGGATGTTGTTTTGGCTCGCCCTTTGCAGGACAAGAAGGAGAAGAAAGAGAAGAAGCAGAAAAGAGCAACGGACGACGTAATCCAGGCCTTTTGGATTTCGGGATGCAAGGCATGCGGACGCAGGGAAAGATGCCGAGCGGTCATCAGCAAGACATGTTGCTTGAGCTTCAAATGCCCGGGAACCAGTTTTTTTTTTGTCGGCGGCGAGGCGCAACATTAACCTTGCTACGTTCGCTAAGTCTACCTTCTCTTCCACTAACATGGCACCTAACAGAGGGTCCATTGAAGAGAAAGCTGATATTACAGATACCCTCCCACAGGTGCTATGTTAGTGGAAGGGCGGGTAGTTATTCAAGTGGCTTCCTCGGCTTCCATTGTTGCTTGGGATGCCTCTTCAGGCAAAGAACAGGCGCTGCACGGTCATGAAGCTGTTTGGTTTTCATTTGGTGTTTACCCGGGATTGACTTCTTGGTTGACCCCCCCGCCCCCCCCCCCCCCCACCCGGGTTTTCTGAGCATCCTTCATGTTGGCAAGACACATCGATGTTGTAGAGGCATTTGATTGCTCAAAGATAGCTTCTCCCAAGTAGATTTCCAGGTGGGCGCGCTTAACCCCCTTTTGAGCGGCTGGGAGGTATGCCTCATTTTCCAAAAAGGGTATCATAGAAATCCCCGGCTGGCGGAAATTCGAATCCAGGAAGAAGCGAAAGATCCTTTGGACGAGCTCTTCGACCCCGCCTCGCCGAAGGATTTACCTGTAGAGGAGGCGGAAGTTGGGAAGACTAAGAAGGAGCCATTGGCAAACATCGCAAAGGTTCTTGGAAGACACACTGGGTGACTCGGGTATTGCAACTGGCTATCCCACTATCCCATGATGACCGCCTTTTGACCGAAGCTGTTCACAAGGGACCGGCAACGGTGGGAAACATGCGAATATAACAATGTGTTTGCTCCTTAGCTGCCCCCGAGCCAATTCTTGGGAGCCTAGAAAAAGAAAAGGGGCTACACATCAATGGCGGCCAGGTGCTTTTGTGATCCCGAAGTGGGGAAATGAAAGGGACCCCTGTCCTGGTGTGCGAGCTCTGTATATTTCTTGGCTCCAGGACAAGAAGGAGAAGAAGGAGAAGAAAGAGAAGAAGGATAAAAAGGATAAGAAAGAGAAGAAGGACCAGCGCGGAACGAGCCAGCGCGCAGAAATTGCCAGGTACAGGGAACGGAGGGTTCCCGCCCTGCGACTTATCTATTGCCTGCAGCGAAATTCAATAAAGTGTGTCCGAGCAGGTGTGGCATCTTGGAGTTTGCAGATGGACCGCGCGACTGATTCCCATGTGGGTCAATCCATCTGCTAGTCGATGAAACTACGAAGAGATGCATCCACAACGAGAGCGCATAGAATCTTCCTATTTTAGAGCTTACCTGGCAGTTAAAGCGAGCTCACCATGATAAAGATCCTTTACTTGGGGATCCCTTAATTCAGCTTTTGGAATCAAAGTAAAGTTTGCTGAGAAGTAGAATAACTCTTCTAGAACGATATCACCAGCGCAGCCAAGCCCCTAGCTGCCACAGCACAGCCAACCTCTTCTAATCCAGCATCACCACTAGCGCAAGAGGCTCACCACTGTGGCGCGATTCAAAGGCTCAAGCCGCAAATGCTATGGGTACGAGCTATTTTTGATGCATAGCTCAGCTTATGGAAGCTCAATCAAATCCACGATTCCACGCTAGACCCAAATCCTGGCCTACATGTGGGGGCCCAGTGATCTCGTCGGGGTAAGGCGGAGATGCTGGGGGCGGGGGGGGCGGGGGGTTGTCTAAAAACAAGCCTCGCAAAAAGGCCAACGCAGCGTCCGTGGCGTGACTAAACTCAGGATCTAGAAGCCGCTTCGGATGCACTTTGTTTTGGATTTCATGCCGTTCTTCCCCCGATTGGTGCTTCTCTGAGGAATCGTTTACTCTTTTGAAATGTCCTACAAAATCAAGAGAGTAACAATTTCCCACCTCAAGGAGTTTGAGTAATCTTTTACTCGGTGGAAAAATGGCAGGAGAAGAAGCGAAAGGCCAAAGAGCCGGAGCCGCTGAAGAATGATCCTATGGATGCGGGTGTCGGGGAGATTGTGCCCGAGGAGCCCCTGCAGATCTCTTGGGCAACCCCCACCCCCCCCGGTTTCTGGTTTCGCTTTCGGACCAGTTACTCACTCGAGTTCCTGGACTTGAGTTGGTAACTTTTGGGTGAGATGGCCACCACTTGAGTTTCTGGACTTGGCAAAAAGTTTGGATATTTGTGGCCCGCAAGTGGTGATGTTCTTGTTGGGGCGTCTTTGGCTCCGTGGTTGTGCAGTAGCGACCAATGTCTCGGAATTTCGGTAGGTAGGATGAAGGATCAGGCTTTTCCGTTTACTTTTTTTGTAATTCTATCTAGAGCCCTCAATGAGGATTCATTCTTGAAAGACCAGGACAAATGATACATCACGCGTTCCCGACCACCACCTCACGAAGGGAAGCTTGGCGTGCTATTGTGAAAACAACGTTGATTCTTGGAGAACGGCCTGTTGCATGCTTCCATGTGCAAGATCACTCCAAGAGACTGTGGGAATATGTTGGTGCCCACACTCACAACCTGACATGCCCTGCCAAGCTTGCGTGTTTCCATGACCAAGATTTCTTGGCATGATGTAAAGCCAATTCTGCTTCCAGTTTTGGAATTACGGGATGGGCGAGGTGCTTCACCTTAAGGGGCGCAGAACTGGCCAGTACTTCAGCACATGTCTAAAACGATGGCCAAAAGATGTTGATGACATTCCCACCTCATCACCTCAGATTCAACAAATTGAACACTGTCTGATCGCACGGCTTTTGAAAGGTTCCAGAAGACTGCCCCAGACCGAACTTCTACAACCCCAGATAAAGGTTGGACGTGGGGCATCAGAGGTGTAACTTCTGAGGGTTTTTGTATTACACCCTGGGATTACACCCTTGGAAATGACCCAAAATGGTTCAACATAACACGGTTTTATCCGCCTAAATGAGGTCAATACCAGTGGGTGTATTCCCCAGAGTGCAATACAAAAACCCTTAGATTATACTAAACTTGGTGCCGTGTAGATCGCTTCAGGAGGTGCTGCCAGAGGGGCTCCCGGATGAGTTCGACATCTTCAACGAGTTCGGCCTGGAAAACGACGACAGGGCCAGTCCCGCTGCTAAGAGGCGAGATCCGAGCCGAAAAAAGATCCGAGCCAGGATGAACTTCCAGTGGGTAAAATGAAGATGTTAAACCTTTTCCTTGTGCAAGCCTCTTATAAGCCTCTTATGAAAGCCGTATGGGGGTACCAGAAATCTGTCTAGCGGTTGATTCCCCATTTCTCTTCACCCATCGTTCTCTTTGGACACCACCCATTGTCCAGGGTTTTGGCCCATTCTTTGAAGAGAATAATGCCTGAAGAGAATGAGGAGGGTACGGCTAGACTTGTTGGTTCCAAAAGGGAACCTGTCACGGCTGAAAAGTAAAATTCTGCTTTGGAATATGTTTTACCCTTGGAACTCATAGGCGGGTCAAGCCACAATCTTGTCATTGATAAGCACCGGGTGCCCGAAACCTGTAAGTTGTTTGTTCCTCAGGGCGTCCAACGCGTCGAACGCAAGAAGCCGTGGCTTATGCAAACTTATCATTGCGCATGCGAAGGCGTGGGGGCCAGTCATGCCTGCTGCACTGCATAATGTGTGTATGTATGTGCGTGATGTGTAGCCACGTATATGTGTTTTGCCCGGAAAAATGCGCCACGCCCGCAGGTTTGAATCCCCCACAAGAATGTCTGTGTCTTTGAGGCTAATGAGCAGGTCACCAGGTCCCAATAACAGGGCTCCTTAAAAGATACATTTTGCCCATTTGACACATGGCTTTTTCCATCAAAATCCAGGAAAACCACAATTTACAAGGCAATGTTCAGGTGCATACTGTAAGGATCCCTGAACACGTGCCACTGTTCATCCTGCAAGGTTGCGTCTGATCCCATCCCCAGGCTTGGACTCTGTCGCCTGAAAGGACTCGAGGCTTGAGAAGGTTTACAGGGTTGGGTGGGACGACTCACTTGCCCAGAGCGACTCGTCGAAAGGTGGTCACTTGTTTCCAGATCCTTTGGGAAGGTGAGAGTAGATGTCGCTTGTGTTCCCTTTTCGTTTCATACTGTAAAGGGACGAAATCCTGCACCCACCCGAGAAACCATGGTTCCCCATGGTTTCAAATTGGTGCGAAGCGGATTTCGTCCCTCCACAGTATATTCCAGGGACCCGTCCCCGAGCCCGGCGGGCTCGGTGATGCGGAAGCGGAGGAAGAAGGAGCCAATCGCTGCGCCTCGGACGCCAATGTTCCCCAACTGAAAGCCATGGGGGTCTCCCAGATTGCCTCTTGGGGTGGTTTGGGTTTCAGGAAGGTCCTGGAGGGTTGCAGGGGGTTCTGGAGCTGTTGGAGAAGTACCATCTGGGCCTTTTTCCTCCCATTTTGGTGCCAACAGAGGGGCACAACAAGACCAGATGATGTGGTTTCTGGTGCGCTAAGAAAGGACCAAAATGGTTCTGCTTCTCATGGCAGCACGTGCATGGTTGAATTGCACCTTTTACGGTCCAAGGGGTAAAACAAGATACCCTTTAATTAAAATGTGTTCCCAGAAAAGAGTAGGCGGCCCTGGGTTCAGGTGGCTCATGATAAAGAACTAGCTTTGGTTCCAATGCGGCACCCAAAAAAAAAGCGTCCAGGAAGCAATCTTAAGTAAGTAAGGGCTTAACTACGAGTCATGAGGTTTTAAACTGCTTTTCTTCATCTTGTTTAACTGGTTCAAGTTGGGGTGTGGAAGCTGTAGGAGGTGTGAAAGAAATTTGGTGGTTTTGCGGGGACCCCCGAATACGGCTGGACTGCTGGACTTGGGCACGGTAGGGATCTTTTTTAGTCTGGGTGTCAAAATGGCTATTCCAAATGTGTTCCTGGAGCTGTTTGCTTATTTTGGACAAACAAGGTTTTACCATTCGGTTGGCCGCTTTAACTGGGCCCTTGGGGCTTTGGGTTAGTAAATGCTCAGATGCCCAAAGCCGACCTTTTGACCTTTTGGTTTCCCCTTTTTGGTCTTAGTCATGACCCCAAAAGGTTAACCTTTTATTTCTGGGTCCTTCGGCCCTGGAAAAACGGAAAAAGCCGAGTCCGCTTGGCCGGTTGTGGCAAGCGTCAGCTGGCTCACGCTGGGGGAAATCTCTGCGTAGTTCGCCAGGTTTCGGACCAAGCGCTCTAGATGGCTGTGGCTCAGAAACGAGGTACCAAAATGGCCACCTTGGTACCCTTAAGTCACTTTTTGGGTCTCGTTGCCCTGGGCCTTCTGCACCCCCTCATAAGAGAGTTGACCTCAGCGACGGGTGCGACTCAGGAGGAGCAGGACCTTTCCACGCAGTGGACTCGGGTCATGGAAGCCATCAAGCCACGCAGGGGCGCCTCGGCTTAAAGTCTCTCGCTCGAAGGGAGGGGACTTGCCCTTCCATCGGCAGAAATGAAGATGTTGTTTCCTTCCCTTGGTGTTAAAGGGAATCTTGAAATGAAGATGTGTGATTTCCACTTGTTGGTTTTAAAGGGAATCAAATTCACTACTGGCAATATGTATTGTGTTGTGTTTTCCAGGCGGCTTAAGCAAATGGAAGCTTGCCAAGCCCTGGGATGCATGGAATGCAAGACTTCGAGACTTGAGGTGTTGAGGTGGAGGGAGTTTCCCAATACCCCGAGGGAGTTTCGCAATACCCCGAAATGGGATGAGTGCTGTAGGGCTGAAGTCTTGTAGGAAACTTGCAGTATGAATGCGGAGAAGTACTGATGATCAGGTCCAGCTGCTGATCTAGATTTCATACCATTGTGAAGTGTTGCTTACAAAGGGGGCAGTGTAGTTCCTCCGCTATCTTCCGCTTTTGCAGCATAGTCCCACCCCCGCTTCTCCAAGGTTGTAGTAAGGCCGCTGTACACGCATCACGCGATCCCGAGGCTGTGTTCCTCAGGTGGCTTGGCTAGCGGCTACCATGATAGTCTATCGCACAAAGAACTATCAATTTGCGAGGGATTCCAAGCTATTTTCAGCTAGCCCTTTGCTTCCGATCTTCCTCAACCAAAAAACATATCCAATGACCAGCATGTAAAGTGTATATATAGATATATTCATATTTGTTGTATACATACCCATCCATACAGGTATGTCATGCATAGGTATTAACGTACATGTTGTTGTTCATACTGAACTTGCGGTTCCTTCGGCGTTTTAGGATCAGTAAAGCAACCTGTTTGCTCCATTTGCCTCTTGTAAGTGATGTCCTTCCAGTGGGTCCGTGGAGCATTTGCTTGAAAGCGAAGCCAACGTCTGGATCATGTTCGGCGTTTCCTGTCTAGTTTCATTTGCCCTTTGCGTTAAGACGGGGCAACAAGGCATTGTGTTCTTCCTTTGTTCCCTGCGTTTCCTATGGGGTTCCTTGAGCCAAGCCACATCTTCGGCGCTCGCGGCTCTGCGGCGTTTGGCGGCGCGTGCAGGCCTCGTCATCAAAGATGAGGAGGCTCACGCCTACGTGGAGAACTTCATCGCTCGGATGGAGGCCACAGCTGCCCATGATCTCGAGGAGTACCACGCAGGCGGGAAGGATCACGGATCGGGGTGTTGATCGCTCGGGGTGTATTCAACCGATTCTGTGATATTTTTGGGAATCTCCCCTTCTGAGGGGGGTAGTCTTTGGGAATTTCTGTTGCATCACAGTGGTCTTTTACCGCAGCCCTGGGCGCGGGCTATTCGCGATGACTTGCTGGTGCTATAGGTGGGGAACGACACGGAAGTCGGGATTCCCAAAGAAAGAAAATGGAATGGATGGTTTTTCTCAGGGTCATTCCATTTCTCATTCCCTGAGAATCAGAAAGATGAAGGTTCTTTCAAACATACTCGTGTTTAAATTGTGCGGATGGATGTCGTTGATCCTCGCTCTCTGTTCAGGCTTGGTGGCACTGGCCCTTCAACGGGAGAAGCAAAAGGCCACTGTTCAAGGCAAATGTTTACAGCTTCAATCCAGGGGCTGGGCCCAACCTTGCTTGAATGGGCGCGTTCGCGGCACCAGCGCCACTAGTGCAGCTGGCAGACACCTGTCGCTGTTTACCAATGCACTGAAGGGGAAGGAAGCTTCGTGAGTTGACCACGACGAATTGATGAACTTGAGTTGGCCCATACTTATCTTAAGGAAAAACCTCGATTGATGAGGGGTGCAAACAACTCAAGAAGGCCCTGGGCCCCCTAGCGGTGCCCTTTTATCGTAAGACTCTTACCCTTTTTTGGTTGGGAGGGTTCCCCTACCAAAATAGACTACAGAAGAAAGGGTACCCTTATTCTGACCTCCTTACTGGAGGACCTAGTTGTAGATCGATCAGAGGGACTCAATTGCTAGAAGGACTGCAGCTGCCAATCTAAACCAATCAATTTTTACATGAAACTCTTTCATTTGCTTAATATGTTGTAGTTCCCCCTGTTGGTTTTAAGGGGAATCTATCTCTACTATTGGAAAATGTTTCTTTCCAGAGGGCCAACCAAGAGGACACTCTGGACGAATGGGTTGGCGCTCCCGAAGCCCCTTGTCACATTGTGACCATCCGCAACATCCGCGGATCTGTGAACTTGCCTTGATCTTCAACCCTGCAGCCTTTGCAGATGGTAAGATCTTGCTAGAACTGCGAGGGCAAAAATTGGTATATACTTAGTTGCCCAAAACCGAGCTTTTGACCTTTTGGAGTTCCTATTTTGGTCCATGTGCACTCAAGGTCCCAAACATATCGACCTTGTATTTCCAGGTCCTTACCGAGGTAGTGGTTCCACATTTGTGGATCTTGAAAGGCTTCGGTATCGTGTGATCACCCTTGTGATGTGAAAATGAGAGTCTGAGCACAAAAGGCGAGTTTGCACAGGTCAGAGTCTTACATGTTGTAAACGAATAGGCCGCACGCCTGTTGACTTCATTCGAGTTTGGTCGAGTTCAGTCAGCTAAGTCGGCCAACCTCTTGGGTCCTCGTTGGTTTCGGTGGCGGCTTGGTAACCCTGGCTCGGTGGTTTGGAGGTTGGACCTCTGGTGCTTGCAGAAATGGGAAGCCGCCCCCAACCACCAAACGAACCACCAATCCTACACACCAAAGGAAAAAAATACAGCGCTACCACCCCAAACCACCAAACCGCCAATCCGAAACACCAAAGCGAAGCTGGCAAGTCGACAGCGGTCTATGTCTAGTTGTCCCCTGCATTACCGCAGTCAGTATGGCCGGGCTGGCGGACGGTTGGCCATCGAACGCTAAGACGTGGAATTCTTCGTTCGCCATGCTGGCTTCTGAAGCAGCTCGTTGCCCGTTCATGAGCCCATGGCTTTTCCAGGCAGAATGTCAGGAAATCGGGATCCCGGGCGGACATGTAACTATACCAGCGAAAAATACATATACTACTAAACGGAAATGGTTCAAACACATGTAGCACCAAAAGTAATTACATTCACCCAGACGCTTTTTGGTTATGCATGTTATGCCAGGCCGGCCCATGATCAAGAAGTTGGAGCTGTTGCCAGAGGCAGTGGAGGTCATGGAGAAGTTTCTTAGATTGCATTTGGCTTTATGGGGGTGGGAGGGACGGAGGGGGAGCCCTTATGTTCTTTATTCACTGATTTGGGCTCCCTCCCCCCCAGCCCCCTTGACTTAAGAACCTCAAGTTGACCAAGGGCCGAATCGCCAAGGGCGGGAGTTGCTGAATGGGCCATGGGAGATGGGATCGCGCAACAGCTCTTGATGTTTAGTTACATTCTCCCCCAGAATCAGCTCCCTTTTGTTTTTAGCTTTTGTTGGGTTTTCCACCAGCCAGGCAAATAGATAAATATATATATATATATATTGCAGGGGTCCTAATTCCAGCCTAGCATATACATGCTTACCTATCTGAATGCAACTTGTGCGGTCCGAGCTCTGAGCAACACCTGGTCCACGTTTTTTCTCCAACCGCCCTTCCTACAAGACGCAATTTCCCTCTGGTCCAGCGCTTGCCTCACTCCCTGGGTTTCTAGATTTTGCACTTTTCGGGGTTTTGACGGTCAATTTTGGGGAGGTGCCCTTCGACAGGTCTACTTTTCACCATGGCCGCAGGCGTTGGGCAAGGCTTTGCGCAACTGTTCGTTGCAACGTTTGCAAAGCCTGAAGCTCCAATCCAAACGGCACCATGCATTGGGGATCATGCATCTGGGGTCAACGTTACCATTGCAGTGTGTGCTCCGTCCTTTGGTTTAGAACGGAAGACAATGCCAATTTCTGAGGTATCAGTTCACCGATGCCTTCATCACCTATGGTGGATGCAAGGCCTGTTCAAGATCACAGTCAAATGCAAGGATTTCAAATATTGTTGGACAGTTGGCTGGGGTGCAAGGTTCAGGCTGGGTGCTCAGAGGAAGTGGGATTCATGGGGGGGACACATTTTGATGACGCTGTTGAGCATAAACTCGCTGTGCGGTCCTTTGACCGGCCCAGAGAGGATCCACTAAGTGCTGACACCTGAGCAAGACTTGGTGCAGCTTTCAAAGACTGGGTTCAAGAGTAAACATGCAACATCCCAACCGCATAGGGGATGTTTCACTGAAGAGTTTTGTGTAAGGACCCCTTGAGAAAGAAAACAGCGGTGGTTCGTGGAAGACCTATTTGGCCTATCGCACCAGCAAGTAATGTAGGGGATGTTCCTTGCAAGGTCAAGCCATGGGACATGTCTTCGTCATGTGGTATGAGGTCTCCCGAAGATTGGAATCGGCTTTTCACAGAATCTAAGGTCAGCAAGTGGTGCAGAAGAAGTCCGTTAAACCTTACAGTTTCGCATGTTGTTTGCCATTGCTTTCGGCAAAGTAGCAGACCATCGGTTTGGAGGCTTCGGTTTGATCAGCCGTCCTTGCCGCTTGTCCTTGGCTTGCTGGCTTTGTGGGTTTTCCCGAGTGCTTCGGGTTTCAAATGTAATGACCTCGGATGAAATCGGCAGCGAAGGCACTGTTGAGCCCCACAGTGAGCTATTCGTCAAGCCTCCAGGGTTCCATGAAATAGAAATATATATATATATATACATATACATATGTAGATTACCAGATGGATTTGTAGTTGTCCCTCCTGTTTGCCGGAACATGTGTGTCCACCCTAGCATTTGCCGAAGTATCACGCTGTTTGCCCTTAGCTCGTGCACAAACCCGTCGAATTGGGCGCTGCTTTTTTGATTCCAGCCCAAGTGACCTTGTAGGTGTGAGTCTGTTTGCAGGGACTGCTTTTGCACCCCAAAAGCCTTGGCAACCAGGCAAAACTTCATATGCATAAGACGCAGCTTGCACCCCTCACAAGTCCTGAAAACATACCGTCCCACCCTTTTCGCGTGGAGCCTGACGTTCGGGGACCCGGTCCCTTGAAAAGGAACGTGGTCCAAACCAGGCCCCCGAAACGTCAGCTTCCATTGGTGGGTCCCTTGGGGGTTCCTAACTCAAGGTCCCCCAGTGCCCTTTTACCCTTTTTTGGGGGGAGGGTTCCCCTACTAAAATAGACTACAGAAAAGAAAGGGTGCCCTTAGATTCGTAACCTCTCTACTGGAGGACTTAGAACAGGAAATGGCCCAAGCCAGGCCCCCGAAACGTCGGCTTGCATTGGTGGGTCCCTAGTTACCCTCCCACCCTTTTCGCACGGAAAATGACAAAGACAAACTCCCTTACAAAGGAAAATGGCCCAAAGCAGGCACCCCCCCCGCAACGTCAGCAGCTTCCATTGGTGAGTCCCTGGCTGGGGTTAAACCCTTATTCTAACCTCTCTGCCGGAGGACCTTCTGGTTTTTACGTATATTTGGTTTGGGGGGGGTGCGGTAGGATTGTGGCCGCAAATGTATATGCGGGGTCCCTGGATGCTAATCTCTCTAGAGGACCTAGAAAGGGCCCCTTGTCAGCCTCGTTGGGTTCAGCCCTTCTGCACTCAGTTGTCCAAAGCGAATTGACCTTTTGACCGTTTGGTTTTCCCATTTCGGCACCCATTTTTAGTGGTGCCAAAAGGTGATCACCTTTGAGTCGTGGGTCCGTAAGGGGCAACTGAGTGTAGCCAGGTCCTGGCGCTGTGGCTCCAGAGCCTCCCCAACGGCGCGTTGCCCTCGGTGCATCTGCGCTCCGCGCTGCTGCGGTGCATGGAGCGCTTGCCCATCACCAAGGAGGCGGGGTTTCGCGGCGAGTTCGAGCGAGGTCGAGGTCGTTTTGGGTCGTTTTGGCCGTGTGGACCCTAGCGGATCTTATCAAGCCAGATCTGGGAGGGTTTGTCAAAAGGTCCGTGATACGTGGGATGACCACTAAGTTCAGAAGGCGGGCGGAAGGATTTTCAACGAATTGGAGCCACCAACAGTGATGAGCAACCAAGTGATGGACTTTAAACAAGTATCGTCCTCCAAAGCGAAACAACCTTTTCCGGGGGCCGTGTCCTAGCGGATCTTATCAACCCAGATCTGGGGGGGTTTATATCAAAAGGTCCGTGATACATGGGATGACCACCAACTCCTGCATACTTGGCATCTCGGGCTGGAACAGGCCGGATGTTCACCGAATTGCCGCCACAAACAGTGATTCACATGTTTGGGCCAGCTCTCGCCAGAAGTTCTGGAGTTAAGACTTTTTCTCCCCCCAAAGCGAATCGACCGGATCTGACCTTTGGTTTCGCCCGTTTGGTCCATTTCAGTTATGGCCCCAAACGTGCACGTTAAACCATATATGGTTGGGTCCTTGGGCAACTGAGCAAAAGTATTGCCCGAGATTGGAAAGTAAAACTTTGCGGCGCGTGAAAGATACAAAGTCAGCATTTGAATCATGGCATCTCTGGCAAGCGTTGAGTACACCCTGGGATAGTTGTGGGATTGAGTTGTCATCGCCCTGAACCACGCCATATCAAGGCTGGCATTGAAGCCCGTTGGGCTTCGCCTGAGTTCCGGCCCTGTGCCCCTGAGGCACCGCTGTCAGCAGCCTGAAGCAGGTCATGTCGTCTTCCTGTGGCCACTCAAGGGGTGAACAGGGGTTCTTTCCTTTCGGCATGCTGTTTTTTTGCTTGTCATTTGTCCACTTATTTGATTTGCCTATGCAAGTGCGCTTATCCTTATCGTTTTAGCCTTTTGTTCATTTTGCGTAAGCATGTAGATGTATACATAACGTGAGCGAATCAACGTGTTCACACATAGTTCGGGACACACCCATGGATACATACTGGAATGGAAGTATAGATTTCTATGTCCATATATATATATATGTGTGTATATATAATTATGTGTATGTGTATATATATAAATAAATATGTGTGTGTGTGGATACCGACGCGTGAATCACGAGCGGCAGGCGTTGAAGAGTGCGGGGGAGCCCTTGCTGGGCAAGATCGTCGCAGGCCTGCAGACGCATCCCGAGGAGCTGCGTTTGTTTCTCCATCCCCGACTTGTTGTAAATGGAATTGGGGGAGGGGGCTGACCCGGTGACCCCTGGAGATCTCCATTTATGGTTCCATTTTCTCCTTTGTGGGGAAGACTAGATGCATGGAATTGAGGGACCCCCCACCCCTCCAACCTTAAGGTAGGGGGAATGTTTCTCCAAGACGTATGCCGGAACTGGGAACTGGAGCCCACGAAACAGCTGGAACTCAAGAGACGCTTCTGTTGCCAGAGTTGTTGTTTTCTATTGGCCCCGGTTTGTTTCAACGGGAACCTATCACTGGTGGTAAGAACTGCATTTTCCTGAGGACTTAAGCTGAGGCCTACACTGCGAGGATTGGTTTCTTCCCTTCGGCTACTCGTCGTGCTTGTGTTGTTTGTGTGAGCTGTGTTTGGCGTGTTTGTATTAGTTTTTGTGCCACGTGTTTTTGTGAAGAAAATGAGACGCCAACGACAAAACGGGTGAAGGTACTGCGAACTTGGTGGCCTTAGAATATCTTAAGGCGCTCTTCTTGGGACTAAACTTGTGGCAACGTATCCCTTACAGGCTCTTGAACGGTTGAGTCTGTGCCACTTTATAGTATTCCATGCCATGCTCTATAAGAGGCGCTGTGTCCACATTGTGAAGGAGCTTTGTGCATGCAAATGTTCATGTCCAACGCTGGCTTGAAAACCAAAGCATCAAATGGTTTGCCCTAGGGTAGGGCACGTTGCCTCCTGACGGGTATGAGTTGGATGGGAAAGGAGCTCCCCTAAGCTTCTATCAGGCCCATATGCGCATGTCCTTTTTAGGGGACCCAAACTTGCGGTTTTCCTTTTTTGGTTCGACCATTCTAGTGGCACGTAAAAAGCTCAGACTTGTTTTTGGCATATCCTCTCAGGAAGTGAGCCAACAATTCTGGGGGTATCTTCCCCATTCTTTCCAGGGATCCTTCTTTTCAGGAAACCATCAAAAACCCCGGGGAAGCAGCCGGTTTTTGAAAAAGAACGATGATTGAAAATAATGGACAAGGACTCAACCCCTAGAACAATGGGCTACCCTTGAGCTGCCGGTTGCTTTGCCAATTTGCGGCCTTCCACGTGCTTAAGAATATATTTTCCCTTTTTGGTTTCAAAAGGAATTTGTCACTAAATTTGCTTAAGTTACTTTCCATTGTTGGTCGTAAAAGGAATTTATCACTACTGGACATATTTTTGTGATGTTTGTCCAGGCGTCTTTTAGCCCAATTTGGGGTTTGTGGCCTGCCTGCTTGCAGGAGACGGTGGGCAACAAGAAGCGCGCGCAGAACCTGGTGCAGCGCTGGCTGCGGCAGATCATGGAGCCGGACAACTCCCACAGCCTCGAGGCCTTCCTGGCGCAGCCGGAGAAGGCCCGGGGTCGACCGCCAACTACTCACTTCCTGAGTTCATGAACTTTCTGGGGTTGGACCGTTTTAGTGGTAAAAAGAAAGTTTGGACTTTTTTGGGCCATCCACTCAGCAAGTGAGACTAGGTCCCCCAGCTAGGTGCCCTTTTCCCTCCTTTTCTTTTGGGGGGAAGTTGATTTTTTAGCCGCGGCGTGCGACAACCAACTAGGTCCCCCAGCTAGGTGCCTTTTTGTTTACCCCCTTTTTTGGTTGGGAGGGTTCCCCCACTAAAATAGACTACAGAAAAAGTGGGTACCCTTATTCTAACCTGTCTACTGGAGGACCTAGCCAAAAAGCATGTGCTTCAGCTAATATGCATATATATATATATATCATAATAGCGCGCCATATGCGATGAAGGATGTTTGTTCCCGCTGGATGTGTTGATCCAGTCCCCTGAGAACAAATCGGCCCATACACAATTGTAAGCACGTTTGGCCCGACCCTACGCAAGACATGGGGGGAGCCTTGTAGTGCATGCTCGCACTTTCGATCCGATCCTGATCAAGCCACATTCGGGCAGGTTGGCTTTCCGGGGTCTTTGGTGCAAAAAAACGGCCTGGAGTTCACGAGCGCTTGGGACAACCTCGGGGCACCAGCTCAGCAGCTTTTGATTTTTACCTCAGTAGCCCCTTGGGTGATTACTCTATGCCCGCATGTTTACAACTCACTCATCATTCGATGTTTGCAGTTGGACCATTGGCCTTATTTGGCGTTCCATTCGTACCAGGGTTTTATTGAATAGATGGCTGTGGGTCAAAACTAATGGGATCCCATTTTGGGGTAGGTTCATCACCCATGGTAAAGCCTATTTTAGTGGTTGGATTGGTTGATGTTCACTGGGGTATTGGGCTGTTGACCCATGGCCAAGTATCTTCTTCGGCAAGCGAGTTTGATTTTGCCCATGGTTTTATTGCCTTCCGTCATTCGAGGCGTGTGCTTGGAAGCAGCAAATGGGCTTCTCAGGTTAGGAGCATTCCAGCAAATGGGCTTCAACAAGTCTTGCCCTGCAGTCTTGCCCAGCCTCCCGGAAGAGCACCTCCGCGAGTTTTTTGGCCACAGAGTCCCGCCCATTGCCACATTCCTTTTGGAGGGTATGTGTCATCATGGCAAAGGATTCCTTTTGGTTTGCCCACCAAAAATAGAAACCACACATCTAATCTAGAACGCCTTCCAAGAAGAGGAAGACACCCGAAAACTAAGACAACCGCAAACTAAGACGCCCAAATCCAGAAATCACTCTAGGGGTACCTTCCAATTCCATTCTTTCCAGGGATCCTTCTTTCTAGAAAACCTCCAGCAAAGCCAGGAAAAATGAATCCGGTTCTTGAGAAGAACGAGGGTTGAAAACAATGGACAAGGAATCAACCCCTAGGGAATGGGTTGGAATAAACTTTCAGGAGTCCCTTTACTGGGCTGCCCGTTTTCTGATCCCCCGCTGAAAGTTTGACTCACTTTTCGTGGGTTAAATGGAAACTACCCACTAAACACCAAAAGGCTTAAACGCTAAGGGACCGGATGGCTGGGAGCCACGGGTTAAATGGATCCAAACTTCCCACTAAAGGAAGAAACAAAAAAAACAACGGCAAGGACTCAACCCCTGGTTCCCTCTAAGACACCCAACGCCAGAAGTTTCTCACCTCCGGATCCGCGGAAAATCCGCGGCATCCGCGGACGAAGCGATCGCCTTGCGCGAGGTGGGCGCCATCCCCCGGCCGCCGCCGGAGACGGAGGAGAGCCTGCAGAAGCTCGAGGAGGAGAGCGCCAAGCGGCTCCACCCGGCCATCCCGGTGATCCAAGCGAAGGCGGGCCGAAGGCCGAAGGCCGAAGGCCAGCCACCCGATTTGGGCGGGCAAAATCGGTGGCAACCCCAAAAGGGGTGGTTGAACCTGGGAAATGGAGACATGGACTACCGGTCCCATTTCCTGGTGGGTTAAGTTTGACCCAGACCTAAATGAGGTGGTGCTGATTTGTTCACCTGCTGGGTTTTGTTGGTGTTGGGTTGTCTATGTTGTTTGTTTATGTTGGTTTTAGTTTTGTTGGTTCATTTTCAGCGGGCTGCCAAAAGGAAAGTTGTTTGCTACCCAGGGCCGACACTTACTCCCCGAGCTTCTGGATTTGAATTGACTTTACAGAAATCCCCTTCGTCCCTTTTTAGTCATGGCCCCAAACTTTGATTTCTGGTCCTTTGGGAGACTGACTTTTACTTTAGGGTAGTACTAGAAACATAGTATGAACATATTTGTTTATCTTGGTGTACTCCAAATCTGGGCCATGATAAGGGCTGTGGAGTGATGGGGGTATGGGTCACATGATCACAATTCTTTGGTCAGATTGGTTACCCCGAGTAGGTGGGGTGGAGTATAAAATGGGGAGGGGCGGGGGTGAGCTATTTTGAAATGGGTAAGGGGTTGGGTGGTGTAAGAGTATCGCTAAACGCTGGCAAGGGGCTCTTGCGAAGGGGAGGCAAGAGACGGGCCAAAGCATTTCAATAGAGCGTCCGCTTCAAACACTCAAATGCGCATACATACATTGATATGCATGATTTTGTTCAATCAAAGAAAGAAAGATCAAGAAGAACACATAGTATGATTGTTTCTTGTTTTAGGTTTCAAGAAAAAAACACCACACACACAGAGTTCGCCGTAACACAGATGACAGAACGCGTATGGACAACCAGCATCTTCTTTTGGAGCGCGTGATGCCCCAAGCCCCGCAAGATCAAGCCGCGGAGCCAGAGGCATACAGGGGCCTGAGACAGAAGGGGCAATCGGGTACGGGTCAAAATTAAACCACCAGGGGACCGCAGGTTTTAGTCCTTGTTTCCGTTTACTAGGATTCTATTTGGGGACCCACACCCAATTGACGTAGGAAAAATCAGAGCTCGGGCAAAGTTTTATGGCCAAGAGCAGCCTGAGCTACATGCACTCCTAGGTTCTGGTTGCTCAGAACTGCCTGAGGCACTTGAAGTGATTTGCCCGCCTTATCTCAAGGCATTTGGGTTGAAGATTGCGTGCCTCATCAGTGGTTCAAAACCGGCCTTCTGGTTTCCGCGTAGTCCGGTTTGCATCTCGGTAAGAAGGTTTCCAGGCTAGGGTTCCCTTTTTTGTGAGCCGAAGGGGGTAGGGCACGTGGATCCAGGATTACGTCATCCAGCCGGTCTCAACGGCTCAGCCCATCATCCGAGAGAAACTCACCACGGACACCTACAAGGGCAAGCTGAATGAGGTCCTGAAGGTCATGGCGCGCCCCAACAAGAGATCATGGAAGCCCCACTCAGTTTCCGTGGCCGGGCGCCAGCTCAACGCAGAGTGAGAAGCTTTCCGACCTTCTTTTTTTTGCGCGATCGAGCGCAAAAAGGAGTTGAAAAAGCCGACGACGGGTGTGGGTGCACCCTCTGGTCACCTGGTCGGTTTCTCGGCTGAAGCAAAGCACAACAGCTCATAGGTGTCCTCTTTGGCTGCTTTGGCCAAGAAATCGTTGGCACTGGTGACCTGGTGGCTCAATGATCTACCAGGGAAACCCATCTATTTTTGCCCTAAAAGGACACCTATGCCAAAGCTTGGTGGTTGCCATCCCCTTCTGAACTTCGGTTTCTAGGGGCGTTGGGAACAGCCCAGAAAATTGGCCATCTGCTTATGACAGGATGGCGCGCAAAGAATCCGAGGTTTCCGAGGGCGTCAGGAATCTAGTGGGATTCTGTGCTGGCCTGGGAATTGTGCGTTCGAAAGTGGAAACCCCAGCGAGCATTTTGGGTGTTGCTTTGCAAACCAGGGGGGGGAGTTCCAGTTTAGGACACCCTGACACTCATGTATGGCTGGAAGAATCGGCAAGCCATTGGCATCCACTTGCCCAGTCAATTTGATGCAGTGATTTGGTAGTGAATTGTGTGCAGTTTGCCTGTTGCATTTTTTGAGTCGCAAAGAAAGGGGCGGACAGTTGCTGCAAGATGCCTCTCTTCCCCATCGACCTGTGTAGTGAAACACAGGCCGTCGGTGCAAGGGTATGGCCCGCACAGAAGGTACTCCACATGCGTTTTGAAGGTATGCGCCGCGTATTTATCACCATGAGAAGCCTGTAAGTCAGATCTATACTATTGCTTTTTTTTTATGTGGCATATAAACTTCATACCTCCAAAGCCCTTACCTGAAAATGCCCTTGAGTTTCCGCGTTCGAATGTTTCAAGCGAACACCTCTCGGGGTGAATTGATGTACAACAAACTTCGGTAGATGATTACGTATGAAGGCAGAATCGGTCTTGCGCCCTGAGTTACCAAACCTCAAACGGTTTGTTTGGGGACTTCTGACTTGTTTGATTTCAATCAACCGAGAAGCTGCAACATACGAAACATGGTCAGAAGAGGTCCCACCGACTAACATGGAAGTGCAAAGACCCCTGTAGAAAGACGACTTTCCGGGAAAGGGGCTTTGTGCGCTTCCATCTTAGTTGGTTGGGATGGGCCCGAGGATAAGACCTCGGATCTCGCAGACAACTCTGTACTGGTCATCGCGACGAGGCGTTTGGGGCGGGTGGATTTGGTGGTGGGAAACGGTTCAACCTCAAAAGGGGGCCCGCAGCAAACGTGTTTTTTTCTTGCTGGTTCTCTGCAGGGAATGGGAAATGAGGTGACCCGAGAAACAGACAACCCCTATGGCTTCCTTTAAGGGACTCCCCTTCCGATTCATTCCCAACAGGCGGGCGGCCATTTTCTACTGAGTACCAGCAAGTTTTTGTTGGAGATTTTAGGACCCGCTTTTGGACGAGCTTGGAGGGAATGCAAGAAAGAGTGGGCATTTGTCTTTCTCTCTTGCTCTCTTGCTTTCTTGCTTGCTTGCTTGCTTGCTTTCTTTCTTTCTTTCTTTCTTTCTTTCTTTCTTTCTTTCCTTCTTTCTTTCTTTCTTTCTTTCTTTCTTTCTTTCTTTCTTCCTTCTCTAACCCGTGACTGAAGTACACCGAAGCCTGATGCCCCCTTTGAATGTATGTATGCATTTCTTCAAGGTGTTGTTGAGGCCTGGGACACGCTCAAAGGCGCATTTGCGTGCAGTCAGCACTCACTGGTGAAGTGAGTCGAACTGTTGACACCTTGGCCTCGGACCTGTATGGGAAAGATAGCTTCAAGTTGTAGGCAGGCAGGGTGCGGTGGGAACAGCCTAAGGCACCTTTAATGCCACTGAGTTGTACTGCACGGTCTGAGAAGACACCCGCCGGATGCCTATCACTGTAGCCAAGCCAGCGCGCGCCGCACCCTCTGACTGCACCCGCATTGCCCTTCGACTGTCCCGGCCACCCTCGTGCCTACCATGCCCTCACTCGGCGACAAGCCCCTTTGCACAGCGCTGAAGTACGAGAACTAAATTTGATAGCTTGGCTGTAGGGGAGAGGGCGCAAGCAAGCAAAAGTCAATATCGAGTTTAGATGAGCTTGAACCTGTGCAGCTGGTGCACTGTGCGCTCCCGCTGCGGCTTTGCCAGGAAAGATGATTTGTGCTCCTTTTGGTGTTGCTTTGAAGCAATGCCAAAAGGGGGTTTCCCTAGAAAGAAGACACACACACACATGGGATACATATGTGGTGAGAACGTTTCGGTTGGAGAAGTGTTTTCCAAGGCTTCGAATTCACCAGGAGGAATGTTCAGTCCACACCTGCACACTTAGCTGCAAACCGACCAATGTTTGGAGGCAGGGCTTGGGATTTCTTCGCCTCGCAGTATTGCAGCCCAAGATGTGTATGCACATGTTCGGCTTTCCTGCTTGTTGCTGATGCTGAGCGGTCAGGCGTGTGCTCTCCGTTGATCACAAAGCGTGTGTGTTGTTTGTTTTCCGCTGGTACCTTCGGTGTTCTGCAGCTTAGGGAGTGGGCAAGAAGACCACACAATGGCAGTGTCAATCTGCAAATCAACATTCCTGGCCCCATCTGGGCCCCCAATGGGCATGGGTAACTTGTTCCATTTTTTTGGGGACATATCATTGTTTTCGGTGGTTTTTCCCTTTGCTGAACCCATGTAAAGGACCTTTTGATCAACCCCCATAGGTTAAGAACCAGCACGGCGCCGGGAAACGCGCCAAGCACGTCCAGGGAGACCCCGACGGCGAAGTCGGAGTCCGCACCGGAGGGTGTCTCAGAGGTGAGGGGCGAGTGGTTTCGGAATGGTTTGGTGGTCCAAAGCCGTGGTTTGGTCAGTTGGTTTGCGTTCCAATTGCCTTCTTGAGTTTTTGGGCTTCATACCTTTTGGGAGGCCAGTTGCAGTGGAAAGAAGCCATCAGAACCAAAAGCTCATACATTGTTTTGGGCACTCAGGAAGTGAGTGCTGGTCAACGCTGGTGTTTGGAGCTTGGTCAGGTTTGGTTTCCTATGTCGGGCGAACAGCTGCTCCCTGAACTCTTGGGTCATTCGGCTGAGACATGATAAGATGGCACGCACCTGATGCACGAGCGCGCCCAAAAGCCCCAGCAATGGCCAGGCATGGAGGATCTAAGACTATGAGCCCTGATCAGCATGTCTAGAATCACAAGTCGACAGGCCTGGTGCTTCGGCAACGACATGCCCTGGTCAAAAAACGTAGCTTGACGGACCTTGACCCTGAGGTGGTCCAATCTGCAAGCCAGTTACACCCAGCCACCGTTGCAACCCTTGGCTTGCAGGCTTACCTTCATCTTTGCTCGGTGCACACGGGGCACTTGAAATGGAGCTAAGCCACCTCATGAGGAGATATGAGGAGGTACGTGCTTTGATAGTTCTTAACAATTGCACATGGTTCTCCAGCTGGGGCACTTGAACAATTCGCGGACATGTTGCGTCCAGTTGCCAAAATACCAAAATGAAATGTGACCTCAGCCACTCAAATTCTTTCGGAGGTTTCGTGCACTCCGATTTTGTTTTGCAAAGCCGATTTTGTTTCGTCTTTTTGCCCATGCCTTGGCATGGGCACCTTTTGCCATGCTGGAGCCGCCTGCTTCAGGCGGCGGACTCTCCAGATCCGGAGCCAGAAGCGAAGGCTCGGTGTGCTTGGTGGCTCCCAGCCATCCGGTTCCTTAGCTTTTTTGGATCCTTTTAGTGCTTAGTGGTAGTTTCCATTTAACCCGCTAAAAGTTCGTCACTTTTAGCAGGGGATCTGAACACGGGCAGCCCAGTTTGGAGACTTAGGGGTCTGCCCGCAACCATACGGCAAAAGCAGCAGCATGTGGCAGAATTGAAGCGGCCAGCCCGTTGGACCCGCACCCTTGCCCGCTTGGCAACCATAGGGTCGCGCGTGGGTGCTGCTGGAGTCCTTTGAAGCGTCACTTGTTCTCCTTCCAGCATTCCCGGCAGGCAGCCCAGGCAGCCCTTGCCCAAAGCCAGCCGACCATGTTTGAGAGGTGTTGTTTTTTTTGGGCTGAGAAACGTATGGAATCAACGGCTTGGAACAGGTGACACGCGCTCTCCCTGTCTTGAGGGGTGGGCTGAGCATCGCTTTGCGAGGAGAAGGTTCCAGATATGGAGATGGTGAGGGCTGCGCACCTCGGACCAGCCACAAGTTTCCCCATGAGCGCTCTCCTAGGTCCCCCAGTTGTCACCCCTTTTTTGGGGGAGAGTTCCCTTATACTAAAATAGAGTACAGAGAAGAAAAATAAAGGTACCTCATTCTAACCTCTCTACTGGAGGACCTAGTCTCTTAGCTCGGGTTTGGGTTCCAGTTGCGGAATGTGGGATGGCCGTTGCCGACACTTGCCGCGGAGTCGATCCAGCTTGGCACCTGATACTTTTGGCTCCTGCGACTGTCGCTATACAAGAGCTACACACATGCGTCCTTTTTGGTTGATTTGGCCAAAGAGGCCCTGGTGTACCTGGTGGTTCAATCAACTAGGACTATGGCTTTACATGTGTACTAATGCTGGGAGCAAGTGCCACCATACTGCCGCGCACGCAAGGGCTCCAGCGTGCAACACCCCTTGCGGGAGTTGTTTTTTTTTTGCGAAGCCTGGGGACCTTTGCAAAGAAGCCACCCGAGTTGGGACCACGGTGGCTGCCCTTGAGCCTACCACTTCGGGGGGTTGATGGGTTCACACATGGCAGTGGCTCAAAATTAAGGAGCTAGGGTTACGCAGGTTTGGGTCCACTTACCAGGGTTCCATTTGGTACCGGTTATTTTAGCCATACCCACATGGGGCCAGTTTAAGAAACTCCATTGCTCGACTCCTTTCTTTGAAGAGGGTTTTTCCTTGGAGCACCTTAGGCTACGGGGTACTAGATGTTTCAACCCACAACTGGGATCTTATATGGCTGTGGGTCAAAGCTAATGGTACCATTCTGGGGTAGGTGAATTCACCACCCATTTTAGAACCTATTTTCGTGGGGATTGGGATGTTCACTGGGGGTACGATTTGGATCTTGACCCATGGCCATCCCGGGCTGACCCCGGCCATTGGCCCGGTCCTTGGCCCGGCCAAGCGGCGAAAGCTCCGAGGTATGCCCGGCGAGCTGCAAGCAGCTGGACGCCTCTCAACGCCACGGAGCGTCGAGAGATGAGCCCGGAACCCAACTTGCCAACGTGAAATCCCTTCGGAGGGCAGGGGTGTTGAACCAACCAACCCCCCCCCCCCGTCAAAAGTGAGATCCCACAGCTGGAGCCATAAGTACGCCCCGTCAAAAGTGAGGTGTTGCTCTCTGTTTTTTTTTTTTCCTCTCAGTTGACGGCGAATCGACCTTTTGAGCTGCCCTTTTGGTCCAGTTTGGGTCCGTGGCCAACCAACAGGTGACCGCCTCTTAGTTCAAGGTATCCGTGGGAGACGGTGTCCGAGCCGGGAAAGGCCAAGCCCGTCCCAGCACCAGAGACCACGTCAAAACTTCTCAGTTGCAACCAAAGCGAATTGACCTTTTGACCCTTTTGGTTTTCCCCCCCATGGCAACCCTGTTCAGTCATACCAGGCGATCTCCTGTTATTTTTTTGGGTCTTTGGGGCAAGTGAGTTTCAGGCCCTTTGAAAGAAGCGAGAGGGGAAAACTCCCGTTCTCAGCGGCTTACAAGGGTCCAGCGGATGTTGACATGCCCCGAATCGGGCATTTTGGCCCTTAACAAGGTCCCCCCGGCTAGGTGCCCTTTCTCACCCCTTTTTTGAGGGGGGAGGGTTCAACCCTACTAAAATAGACTATAGAAAAAAAGGGTACCCTTATTCTAACCTCTACACTGGACCTAGTTAAGCTCACTTCATTTCTGGCTGTCGATGCAGTTGTTGTATTGTTCGGCTTGGGATTTTTTTTTGTGTCGTTCGTGCTCATCCATTCTGGAGTTTCTCACCCAGCCAGTGGACACACATACCGCTTTTTTCCTTGGCGCCTCCCGGTTTTTAGAGGTGAACAAGTGTATTTTTTTGTTGCTGGTAGCTGGCCAAGTGAGATCCACCATCTGTTCAAGAATAGTGGAAGTGGGCAGGAGGCTTCCCCAAATCAAAAGTAGTCTTCCAACACCCTCCTGTCAGCTTCCATGCTCGTTAGAGGGAGGGTGACCTAGAAACGCTCCGTGACAATCAGTTGAGCCTAATCTCACTCCCTGAGTTCGTGGACTTTAAGCTTTTTGGAAGGACCATTGAGGTGGTAAGTAAAAAGTTCAGCACTCCACTTGCCCGGAAGTGAGTAACTTCTAAAAGTTTCATTTTGGGGGCAATCATTCGATTCTGTCCCAGTTGCCCGGTGGATTTCCGCCTCTTTGTTCCACTTTTTTGGGCGAAGGGTTCCCCTTTAACCTCAACCAGTCCCGCCTAATTTTTGGCTTCGGCCGGGATGTGGGCTCCACAGGGGGTGGGGTCTTGAGCAATGTGGCGGAACCACCCCCCCCAAAAAAAAACAAAAAACGGATGCATTTTTTGGAAATCCACTGGGCATCTGAGTGCTTGCCATTTTGAGCTTCCCAAGTCGCAAGCTGGGCATAAGGGCAGCGAACAATGCAGCGCTCGCTCCTGCGGCTCATTCAAGCAGACAGGTACCTGGATCAGGGTCAGACCCAAGAGGGGTGAGACACCGAAAACTGGGAGCGCTTCACTGCCAGCTTTCGCTTCGGCCTTTTTCAGGCGTGCTTGCTTACATCGTCAATTGGAAGCATATGTCTTTGAGAAACACGCTCACCACCTCTGAATTCAGCTGCCATAAATAGAGACCATCTTTTGCTTTAGGCAAACATTTTGCTTACCGGGAAGCGAATCCGAGCCCCTCACGTTCGGCACAAAGCTTGGCTTGGCACGGCAAGTTTTATCTCACTCCAATTTCCGGACTTTAGTCACTTTTTAGGGTGTTTAGGTGATGCTTTGGTCCCAGTTATCAGGTTGCACATTTTCAACAACCAGCCTCCAGTCCCTCAAGCAAACCTTTGAATTACTTCTTTTCTTGAGCCATTGCTCACTCTGCCAGAAAACCTGGACTGGCAAGCCCCCGGGTTTCTGTCAGCTCGCATTCATTTGAACCAACTTTTTTCGTCTGCCAACGACCGCTCGCCATGTGCCATGAGCAAACTGGACGGTGCGGAAGTGGCGCCAGGGCTTTGGGTGGGAGGCTTGGCCTTCGCTGAGGACTGGCGGAGCTTAGAGCGCTTGGGCGTCTCAGCGGGGTTTCAGGGAGACGAGGTGAGAGTGCGTTTTCTTCTTGTGAACTTCGACTTCCTGGACTTTTTTTGGTGGGCTCAGAGGTATACATATGTACATATGTCATTGTGTATATATATATATATGTTTTATATGCTTTCAGATCGATAGATTCATAGATAGCTAGGTAGATGGACAGATATATATGGCACATCCCCCCTATCAGAGTTTCACTTTTAGCCAAGCATCCAACCAAGGAGTCGTACGGGTGCTTACAGTGGGCACACGTTTGCAACCGCACTTGGCGTGGGCTGCCGACTGCAACCTCACCATCAAATGCTACGAGATCGAGGACCATCCTTGCGCAGATCTTCTGGGAACATTACCAAGCGCCCTGCGCGAGATCGACAAGGCTCGGCTTCCAGTCCCCTGAGCTGTTTAGAGCCCTGAGTGTTTCAGGGGTTTCCATAGACTGGGTGTTTCAGTGGTATAGTTTCCATGTGACGTACTAAACTCCCCCAGAATTAGTTCGGGGCCCCTTCTATTTGGTTTGCTTTGTTGGGGTCCCCGTTCGTTTCCACGAACCAGGCAAAGCATGTGTTTTTTGGCTGGGGTCCTAGTTCCAGCCAAGTAAGTCACTTTTAGCGGGGGACCTGAAAACGGTCAGCCCAGAAGGTCATGAAGCAGAGGAAGGAAGCGAAGAAGGCGGAGTCCCCGGACGCCGGTTGCGGGGTCTTGGTGCCTTTCGTGCATTTTTCCAAGGGATAAAAAAGGTTGGTCGTAACCCAAAATAATGGTTGGTCAGAATGACCAAGTATTTCAGGGTCATGGAGACCCGAGGTTTAACTTTTTGCCAACTAGTGGGTTGTCCGTATTAAACCACTAAAGCGTAAGTCACTTTTCGCAGGGCTTCGCAGAGGCAGCGACCGAGGTGCATTGCGCCTCCGGCATCAGCCGGTCGGTGTCCGTGTGCATGGCTTGGCTCATGCTCCGCAAGAAGCTCTCTTCGGAGGAGGCCTTACGAGAGGTCAGGAAGAGCCGGCCCCAAGCCCTGCCCAACCACGGCTTCCTGCAATCTCTCCGGCTCCTGGAGACCTTGCCAGACTTAGCTTGCCTTTTTAACCTGTCGATTTTTTGGGTGTCCAAGGTTTTTGTTGTTTCTTTCAGCCAGCCAAACAAAACTTGTAGGGTGTCCACGTTTTTTCTTTCTCCTTCAGCGAAACCAACCAAGTGTCACGGTTTTCGCCGTAAGGAGAAAGAGGGGGACCTGAAAGCCGCGCACAAGCTCTGGCAGAAGTCCAACGACATCTCCAAGGACAGCCGCGACCGCTGCGTGGCGAAGCTGCGGGACCGCGCCGACAAGGCCACGGAGCAGGCGGCGCGCCTGGAGGAGCGGCTGCAGCGGGCGGCCGACTCGGAGCTGAAGAGGGTGGTGCGGCGCCTACGGCGGCTCTTGCAGGACACCAACACTTGACTACTATTGGGCAACGGATCTTTTGACTTTTCCACTTTTGGGTTGAATAATGGGTGTTTTCCACTCCCCCAAAAGTTGTTAAAGACTAGGTGCCCTTAAAGGAAAGCACCAGTTGGAGGGTTCAGTCCCTGCCCCCTCCCCAAAAAACAAAACAAGAGCAAATCTAGGTCCCCTCCAGCTAGGTGGTTTTTTGGTTGGGAGGGTTCCCTTACTAAAATAGACCAAAAGAAAAAATCGGGTACCCGTATTCTAACCTCTCTACTTTAGGACCTAGAAAAATCACACGCGCCAGCGCGAAGTTTTGCCCACATCGGCCGGATCTGTCCTTGTTGTGTTTTTTTGTTTTTCTCGGTAAGCCCTTGGCAACTGGTTTTAGTGACACCTTGGTTTGGGTGGGGTTTTGGGGGGGGGGGGTTGTTGGGCGGAGGACATTGAGAAGCTGAAGCCTCGCACCACCATCGATGACAATGTGGCATACAGCATCAGGAGAACCACGGCCGAGAAGGTGACACATCTTCTATCCATCTGGGAGCCACGGGTGCAGTCTCTCAGTTATTTTCAACCTGGAGTCTCCATGACCCTTAAAAACATGTTGGTCGTTACCCAAAAAATATGGGGTCATCGACCCATTTTTCACCTTTTGATCTTCAATAGTGGGGTCATTGACCCATTTTTCAAGGGTCAGGGAGACTCTAGGAAGATCGGCCTTTCGACCTTTTGGTCTTCCTAGTGTTTTCCATTCTTGGCCCCGAAAGGTGATCCTTTTGGTTCCAGGTCCCTAAGCACCTGAGGTATGCGTCTGAGGGGCATGCAGATCAGACCGAGATTATGGATTCTGTGTCTGACTCCTGGTCTGCGGACGAGGATATTGAAGAGGTGGAGGAGATACCATCTTGTGAAATGAGATTCTTCAAGAAAGTCGCGGTGGCTTTGTGAGTGGCAGCTAGGCCACTCAACTTTTAAAACTTTCACCATGTACAGCAGCCTGAGCAAGTGCTGTTTCCACCTAGGTCACGTGCGGGTGTGAATAACACCTTGCAATCTGTGCCGTCTATGATTTTTGTTGGCGAATGTACGGCCACTGGTGTGGGTTCATCGCTCGCCGATGCACATGCAAGAGCTTGCAGGCTGAAAGGGGTGGCCCCTTTTGTGAGATTGATTGTTTTTGTTTTCTCTTGGTTATGATCATGGTTGGAAACAGGGCTCCGCCCCCAATAAGTTGTTGGTTTTTGGGACCGTTCCCCATAAACTTACACCCTTTCGCAGGGACATATTGCAATCATGGTTACTTTTGGTTTTTGGTTTTGTCGCGATTTTGTTTGTTTGTTTTTTGTTGTTTTGTTGGTTTTCTCGTGTTTTTGGTGTTTCCTCGTATTCTCTCTGTTTTTTTGGCTTTCCTCGGCGGAACTTCCCTTCCCCCCGTCAGGTGACAGCCTGCAGGGCTCCTGGCAGGCCTACGAGCGCCAGGCCCATCGATTCGACGTCCCGAAGAAAGGAAGCCAGTTGGATGTTTATAGGCTGAGTCGTCCAAAGCCGACCTTTTGGACCTTTCGGTTTTCCCATTGTGGTCCTTTTTATGTAAAGATCCCAACAGATTAAATGTTTTGTTTCCAGGCCCTTTGGTCAACTGAGTAGGGGGGGTTATAATGTTGACCCCGGATTTTTATACACCCCCGTTTATTAATATGGGGGTGTCTCCGATTTTATTGGGGATTTATCACTTTTGGAGGGGAACACCCCCATATTAATATGCAGGGGTTTATTAATCCGGGGTCAACATTAGGGGTGAATCATAACGACAACCATTCCAGCAGAAGGTCTCAGGATTGCAGGAATGAGGTTGGATGGTTAAGGGTCATTCCAATTCTCATTCCCTGCCTATCGCTGCAACTTTCTGTTATGGTCCAAAACCATCCACCAGGTGAATCTGGATGGTTAGGGGTCATTCCCTCCCAGGGTTGTCGGATCAAGGGGTTTATTCCCACTTCTGTGATACTTTTGGGAAATTTTGGGAATCTCCCCCTGTATATGGGGTGTTAGTCTTTGGGAAGCCCTTTTTGTTGTATCAAAGAAGTGGTCATTTCCCACAACCCTGTTCCCTCCTAATTGAGCAACAGGAAGTCTAGTGTTCAAGCCAAACTTTCTATAGGTCCTTTGGCCTGTTTTGCTGCTTCAGAAATAATTTGCTGGGGGCGGATCTTGGATTTCCCCCAGGCTCTCCATGGGCCCTCCAATTGGCCCATGCCTCCCTCCCCCCCCAAAAAAAAGCCGCCCCCCCCCAGAAGCTGAGGTGGAAATGCAAATTCCTGTTGAAGTTTTGTGATACCCTCGGGAAGCGGCCTTCCAAGTAATAGGTAGGTGCATGTCTTCGGGAGCGTTCCCGAGCATCATGGGAATCATCCAACCGCATTCCTGCAATCCTGTTGAGGGCTTCTGCTGGAATGGCTGCCAGGCTAAATCAATGTTCACTGCGAAATCAGGGGAGACAAGCTTGACAGTCGCAGTCGGAGTCTGCGGGAGAATGGATCTGTGGATGGTTTACCCTTCGGGGAAAACCATCCCTGATTCAGTGGAGGCTAGCAATGAACTTTATTTTGCATTTTCCTTCTTCAAAGTGAATCGACCTTGTAACTTGTTGGTTCCCCTGATTTGGTGGTAAACTTTTTATTCCCGGTCCTCTGTAGCTGAGTTTCGCCCGCTTGGGTTCCCTTTCTGAAATGTGTTCTGTGCTGGTTGCTTTGGCCACTGAAATGGCCTGCACGTACACTTGAGTGGTGATGCCGTTGAGGACATTCCTGCCAGGTTGTTCAACATCAACCGTTGCCCCTTTGATGGTTGTGGCTTCCCTTGTCGTGGCATCCCACCACGCATTGGCGAACGGGATTGTGGTTCAATGATGGTCAAAGCTTCTGCATTTTATTTTGGCATGCATTTCAAGCCCCTCAATGAGATCAAGATTGCCCAGCAGCTTTTCCAGCCTGCTTGCTCAACAGGCTCACCTGTTGGGATTCCGCAGAGGACACGCAGCTGCGAGCCACACGCGCGGCCCTGCCTGCGGCAGAGGTGGGGCGGAGCATGTCGTGTTTTTGTCCCTGTGTTTCTCAGGGTCATCCATTTGCTTAAGAACATTTTCTACTTTCTCCTGTTGGTTTTACAGGGACTCTATCACTACTGGAAATACTAGTCCTTCTTTCCAGGGGGCTTAAGGAAATGGAAGGGGTTGCTGCGAACAAATTCATAGCAGAAAGTATTGGAGGTCAGGCCCCATTTTTTCCCTGAATGATGCCACCTTGCAGCACTGTAAGTGCAAAGCCTCAAGCTTGCGAAGCACCTGACGCTGCCCAGGGCAAGAAAAACAAACACCGACTGTCCGATCTCCACCCCGCCTGAGCGGCACTTCGCGTCGTCCAAGCCCGTGTGAAAACAGCACCCCGAGCGACCCCGCACTGTGGCACGACCCAACCGCTGGATACGCGCGAGGGCCGCGAGGACCTGGCATGCAGCTGGGCCTAACTCTACTCAGGCTGCGTTCTGGGCAGCTCTCTGGACCTGACTCCGCCAGAGCCGAGCAAACTCCGCCAGCGTGACATCAGAAGTGACGCGAAGTTCCTCTGCCACGGCTCATGTTGCCCTTTCCCCGAGCCCTCTCTTGGAGTTCCCCGGTAATTAACGCAAACGGGAGCGCCCTTTGTCCCCCCAAAATGGCGGAAGGTGCCGGAACGGAGCGATGCAGGTTCGGTCGCCGTTCCTGGCTGCCCTGGAGGCACAGCAGGTGGCGTGGCGGCCCAGCAGTCCGTTTCAAGGCGCTCGAAAGCGGCGCTGGGAGCGTTGCGAGGCGACATCATGTCGGGGATGTCACCATGGATTTTGAGGGGTGGGGTTCCTCATTCAAATTGATCGCCCGGAATATGTTTGTTCACGCACCCAACGCGATCTTTTCCATGCCTCAGAGGCGTCTCTTTGGCCGCAGGCGCAGGACGTGGGTTGAAGTTATCCCGTTCTTCGGATTCCAACGTCAGGGTCACAAGATTTGACATTTTACATAAAGGAATCAAGGCCAAAGAATCAGTGCCCGGATTATGTCTTTCTCGCACTTGTTTAGACCTTATTCCGTCTCAACAACATAGACATCCAGTCTCTTGCCACGAGGCCGCGTTGGCATACTTTCCAGCACTACGTTGCCTAGTTGGAGGGCTTCAGGATTGCAACCCGCGTATTCGTGGCCAAGCACTATGGCTTACTCTCGCAATGACCTTCTTACCGGCAAGTCTCGCCCGCAATGCCCCCGAAAATGCAGCACATCTCCTGGAATGTAGACATAGGTAGCTCTGTCTTGACACGCGCGCCAAGCATGCCTCCAACCTAGAGACTGCGTGGCCGCATCCGAACAATAGCGGCTGAGCAAAAGCGCTGCAGGATCCAACCACCGAGGGTGCGCACGTTGATCATGGAAGGCATGCTAAACGACACGGCGAGACATAGTCACAGCCAAGCAACATCTGTTTGCTTGTGACGAAAGCAGCCATAGCATCGCGGACTTTTTTGCCCTCCAGGCACACGAGGCGCCAAAAAGAGGTTCGAAGACTTGGCCTCTTCCCCGGCGCAGCTGGCAAGATGGCGGGTTGTCAAGTTAGCTCCGCGCCATTTGTCATTCTCGCACTTTGAACATGGCTTTGCAACATGATCGGCGTATTGTAGGCTGTCGCCGCGATGGCCAGGTTTGGGCAAACGGCGGTGGTAGGCCGGCAGCAGTGCCCGCGTTGGCTGCGCGAAGAGCCTCACCATAGGCGCGGATCGGTCTCGGTTGGCAAGGAAGAAACAAGGCAAAAAGCCACCGTACTGTGTCGCCTAGGTGCACATGCAAACTGCTGTCTGTGGGGTGGGATAAGGCATATGGATCTGGAGGAAGGCCGCGCATTGAACACAACAGGCGGGCGCGTGTGTAAACGTGTGTCAGAAGTGGGGGTTGGGCGAGAGGGGGCGGGCGAGAGCAAAGCCACCTATACTCGTGCGGGCGCTCAGCCAACCCACGAGAAACTGGATCTTCCGCACCAAGTTTGACTTGAATCACTAACCTGTCTGTGCTCCCATACCCATCACAAGTAGAGGAATGCCCTTGTGCAAGTGAACCCGTAACTCAGCAGTGACCGCTGTCTTGTCTTCGACTTCGCTGGCCAAGCTTGCGCAGCCAAAGTCGTGGACTTTCCGTTTGCAAGCAGTGGCCTGCCACTTGTGTCCAGCTTGAGGCTGCTCGCAAGGGAGGGTCCGGTCAAGTTGGTGGTGCCGTAGTGCGCAGATCTCTGACATGTCTTTGAAGCAGGCAGACGGAAAGCCTGGGTTAACCACGTGGGGGGGAGGTTATCACAGCAACCTGCGATTTTTTTGGTCAAACGGGGGTCCCTTCTGGGGGACCCCCAAAAAACCAGTGTAGGGCCTACACTGGTTTTTTGGGGGTCCCCTGAAAGGGACCCCCGCATGATTTCAGGTTGCAAAAGACGCGCAGATCAGCTGTAGGTCCCTGGCAGGGGACCCCCAAAAAACCAGTGTAGGCCCTACACTGGTTTTTTGGGGGTCCCTTGCAAGAGACCCTCGATTGTCCGAAAAAAATCAAAGGAGCCGCCCGGTGGCCGCGCCTGCGCTGTGGCCGTTTCTCTTTGCGCCGCTTGTTTCTGAGAACCAGAGGTGCGTTGCCAATCGCAACATGGAACAAAACGGAGAGTGGCGCGAGCGTCTCGCATTTTCTGCTGCAACTCCGCGGAGCGAAGGCGCTACACGCCTCCGATGTGGCCGCGCACCGGCGGACCAGGCAAAACTTTTCGTAATCGTGCAACACAGTTTGAATTGACTGGGGTTCACGCCCAAGCTGGTCTGCAAGTGAATGTATCTCCGGCTGCGCTGCCCTTTGCCTCACTTGTGACACAAAATCCTACAAGCAAACAAACCACACTCGCTGCGCTTGTACGACGTTAAAGCAAGCAGGGGGTCATGTCTGCAGAATGAGCCGGAAGCTCTAAAGTAACGAAATCACTGACACTTGAGAAATGGCCTGCGCCGTTTCCGAAAACATCGAAGGAGAATCACAGGAAAACAGCGTCCAAATCACAACTTCCCTGAAAGCAAAGCGAGCTGCGTC